TTTTATTCCATCAGTTCCTGGTGCCTTGTTCTTTGCCAATTCCTTCAATGCACCTTGGACTTCCTCCTTCAGTATCATTGGCTCTTGATCATAAGCTACCTCTTGAAATGGCTGAACATTAACCATTTCCTTTTGGTACAGTGACTTTGTGTATTCCTTCCATCTTCTCTTGATGCTTTCTGCATCATTCAATAACTTTCCCAGAGAATCTTTCCATAATGAAAGTCAAGGCAGAATTTTTTCTTCAATTCCTGCAGCTTGAGAAATGCTGAGCTTGTTCTTCCTTTTTGGTTTTCTGATTCAAGATCAGAAATACTGAATAGAGAGCAAAAAATCCCCACTAAACAAACGGCCTGCCACATCAGGAATGCTGTGAGACACCTCCCTTCAAGGAAGGCCACACCAATTTGGCATCAAGAACATCTAAGGGGGAGTGTTCTTATTTTTTTCAGGCAGGGAGCTGAAGGTGGTGGTGCGTTTCTAGCCCTCTATGCCTCAGTTTTGGCTTTTCACCCTGAATCTCCTTGTGCAGGGACATTAAACCAAGAAGGCATCCAGCTCCCAATCTATGCTGGCTTAACTCATAAAAGAAGTAGAAAGTGGGGACAGGGGAGAACAAGTAGCTGCTTCCATCTGGCATTTCTGTTTGGTTTTATTGTGTGAGTGCATGTGTGTTTACAGAGAAAATGGAAGGTGTCTTTTTGTAGTGTATACAGGGGCTGACAGAAGACTTCAACTGGGGGGGGCGGGGAGGGGAGGGGAGCCAAATCATCTATGTTGGAGTCCCACATTTCCCAGCTCACTAAAGGCAGCTCTTAGGACTTCAGTCTCCTCCCTTCTTGCAGCACCCCTCCCCCTCCCCCGAGGACTGGATGGGCTGGAGGGTGGACCTTACTTACCGTGAGCCTTGGCTTTGTACAGTGCAGCTGTCAGCAGGAAACTCACGAGGTCCCCCGGTGCCACATCTTCTGTCTTCACTAGCACCACAGCACTGCTGCCTGCTTTCCTGGCCACCAGGGCACCACTGGCCACCAAACTGGCCAGCTGGTAGGGGCCCTTGCCTAGCACCAGAGAGAAGGGACCTAGTCATAACCCCTGCCCACCTCCCATCCCCAAATCCTATCTATCACTCTCAAGAGGCAGGGAAGAAGCTACCAGAGAGCTCCTCTTGGGAGCGTCCCTCATTCCAGCCCCAGGGTCATTACTTCCAAGAGAGAGAAGGGACAGGATCCCCAAGCTGCCAGCCATAACAGAACTGACCCTCTGCACGGCAGCGCCTGAGTTGATTTGTAGGGAGCCTTGGAGAAGGGCACCCACAGGAGGTATCTAGGTCCCAGAATGCTTCTCCAAGAGCCTACCCCACTGCCTGAAACTTTACCATTTTAGTCATTGTTCTATTCAAACTCACCTCTGGAGAAGACATGAGACCTGATGTCTGTCCCCAAGGAACAAAGAATGGGATGGCTTGGGCTCAATGTTAGTGTTTATCTATTTATTTCAAAAGTGTGTAACTTTGGTGTCTTTGGGCTCTTGGAGTTGTTTGAGTGGGGTATAGCTTTGCTGGACAATTGCAACAGATTTCTAACAATCTTCTTGCTTCTGGTGTGCCTCCCACTCTACTGTCCTCTCCCCATGGCAGCTTGACTCATGTTCCTAACCCTGCAGGTTAGTGGCTTCCCATTTCTCTCAGCATAGAACCCAAGAGCTCAGCTTGAACTGGGAGGCCCTTCGCCCTCCAACCTCCCTCACCACTCCATCCACACTCTATACCTTCTGCCCCTGCCGCTGCTGTTCCTTGAAAGAATTGTCCCACCCACTCAGTGTGGCCTTCCTTATTTTGTGCCTACTCAGACTCTGGGGCCCAAATGTTACCAAGGAAGCCTTCCCTGTGCCCTCTCCCACCACACACAGATATCCCTCTTCCTGTGTGTTCCAGTAGCCCATGAAGCACGGTGCACACAGCTCTTAGAATATGTCTCTAGATCATGAGCCACAGCTGCTCACCTACTAGGTGGGGATAGGTAGGGAGATGAAGCAAGAAGGCCTCCATGTGTAGTACTTGCTGATCTCTATGGTATGAATACTCTCACTAGGGCCGATTTCAAGCCACTAATTGAAACCTGTGCAATGAAGAGTCCGTTTTTCCATCCACAAGAGAAGACACCACTGAAGCCAAGAAAGCAGCCAGCTCATTCTGGCAGTTAAACTCCACCCAATCCATCCCATCTTAAATCAAGGGAGCAGCGACAAGGGAGAAGGAGTAGTTGTTTTACCCGGATTTTCTGTTGTGTTGTGTTGTTTTATTGCATTTGCTGGGCACACAAACTGACTCTGGGGAGTCGGTGTGAGCCAGTTCCAGCAACGCTATGCTGGGCCTCATTTATCATTAATTTCATAGCACCCAGCAAAGGCCTAGACTGGAGAAAATGCTGGTGGAAGAACAGAGCAAGGAATGGGTGGGTGGTTGGGTGAGGAGGTGTAAGATGCTAGAAACAGCTTGTCCTTTGCCAGTTACTGCCACTCAAAATGCCACAGAAGGAGAAAACGGCTCCGAGCTGTCTTGCTGAAATGTCTTAGGGTCTTACTTCCTGATGTCAGACAGACCCCGTCTGTCCCGGGGACTATGATTCTACTATTACAGATTCATTCCTTTGTTGCTAAAAGCTCTTCAGGATTGCAGTCATCACCACAGATCCTCAAAGTGTCTGTCCCTCTCCATTTCATCCACCATACTCTTGCCAAGGTGATGTTCCTATCCAAAATCTGATAGTTCCAGAAACAAGAAATTAGACCTAGGCCCACATAGACCTGCTTTTGACAAGATGGTGCCTGGTGGAGGGACCAGGGCTCAGAAGTCAATGGAGAATGACACCAAGGATCTGATGAGTATCTAACTCTTCCAAGGTCTTACCTAGACCCAGCCCAATAGATGTTAGTATAGAAACAGTGGCGGGCAGCCCTCCCCACAGTGATTCAATGGGCCAATTGACTCTACTGTGGGGCATTAACCTCCCTTGGGATCTTTGGTCATGACCTGCATTTTTACCCCTGTTCATCTAGAAGCTGGAGCCTATCCCATACACTGAGACTTCAGTTAAATTTGACAATGAATCTGGCAGGTTGAGTTAGGCCGTAGGTTTATATTTACTTGTGCCAACTCAAATCTTCAGGAAACTCAGGAAGGCATTTTGTGGGCCTGATGAGCTAGATTTGGAAGGTCGTGTGGCTGGCACATCAGTGCAAATGGGGTTTTACTTCCTAGTGAAACTGCCTTGAATAAGCATAGACCTCCGGGAGCTGGGCCCTGTCTGACCTGACCTGGGTACTGAGCAGAGGCTACAGATGCTGCCAGGACAGAATGCCAGGGTCATCCCTAGATGCTGCACAGCCCGCCGGGTGGTCACAGTTCATCCAGGACCGGCAGAGCCTCAGGATGGCTGATGTAGCAACAGGACATGATGGCAATGCCCAAGACCCCATGTGGGGAGGAGAGACTTACCTTTGTTAAAGAAGTCACAGTCATATGCTGAAAGAGAACAGAGACTTGTTAAGAGCCAGGCCAGAGCCTGGAACAGATACAAAGCCAAGGTCCCTTGTATCCCAGCTCTCCCTCTTTGTCCAAGGGCTAAGACTGGCCTGCCTCCTAAACTCCAGAACTCAGGGGTGGTCCCTGGATTCAGATTATTTAAGGATTGTCACTAACCCACACCAAGGACACCACCACCAAGCTGATTCTAACTCACAGCGACCATATGTAGGGTTTCCAAGACTGTAAAACTTTCCAGAAGCACACAGCCTCATCTTTCTCCCTGAGCGTGGCTGGTGGGTTTAAACTGCTGACAATCCTGTGCGTATCAGTGGCTCTTCTCTGTACCCCCAGGACAAAGGTCAGTCCTGGCCCAGAGTCGGCACTCAGCATGGGTTTGCTGAATGAGTGAACAAGTGAATGAATGAATAATGGACAGAAAGATGTGGTTTGTGTGGCCCTGAAGAACAGGACTCGAACCAGGGAATGGAAGCTATGATCAGAAATGCTGCATATGGTGCTGAGCTTCTTGTCCCTGGAGGAATGCAAGCACAGGATGGAAGTCCATGTGTCAGAGAACCTTGGGTGAGAAAGGGACCAGGAGTCTCTGGGAAACCTGGCTGCTTCTTCCACTTCCAGAAGTTTCCTTTGCCCACCAGACAAGCTTGGGCAAGTTCTGAAATGAGTGAGCTCAGCGCGCCCTCTAGTGGCCTAGTCTAGGACCACAGCCTGTTCTCCTGGTGTCCTCAACCTTGGAGTCCTGTCTTTCAGACTTTGGGACTGGTGAAAGTCAGGAGTTGGAGATCTTGCACAGAGCACCTAAAGCCAGCAACAAATCCATGAAGAGGCATTTCAGTGGACCTGGGATAAAGGCTTAGGAGGGACCTGTCTCTCACACATAGGTATGGTCTGGAGAGAGTCACCCACTCTACCCCACACCCCAAACCCCAAGTGCTGTCAAGTTGGTTCTGTCTCACAGCAGCCCTGTATAGGATTTCTGAGGAGTGACAGATGGGTTTGAACTGCTGACCTTGTGGTTTGCAGTCCAGTGTTGATCTTACAGTGTTGATCCTACAGTGCCACACCTACAGTGTTATTCATTTGCATTTGGCACTGCCCTCTGGAAAGATCCTGGAGCTATGTAGTGAACCACCATGTGGCTCTGGACAAACGCCTCAGTTCCCTCCTTTATGGATTCAGAAGACTGACCTGGAGCATGAAGAGAGCTCTGCGACTCTTTGCTTTCAAGAGGCAAGCAGGTCCGTTTCCTTTACTCTAAAGTGGGACTGAAACCAGTGTTCACCTCATGGGCTTGCCAGTACCTGAACTAGGGTGAGACACCCATCTTGTGTGCAAAATTTAAGGGATGCCAACAAATTCAGTAATAAAGATAAATAGTATTTTAATGTGATTATTTCTAAAATCAAAGTTAATGCAAATAATTCATGATGAATAAAATGTCAACACTGTAAATAAATGCAAGATTAGTAACGGAGCCTTGTTGAGCCATATTGGAGACTGAGGCTAAAGGAAAAATTAGTAATGTTGATCTTCACTTCTTTAAAACTTGCACCCAAATCAGTAATATTGATCTTCTACTATAAATTTTGCACACAACCCAGGTCCCGGATATGAAATAAGTTTATATACATAAGAACAGAACCAGGCACACAGTAGGTCCTCAGTAAACACCTGTTTGCTTCCTCTTCCTGAAGGATTTTTAACAGAGAAGTAGACGGGGAGATAGACTGCAAGAGGTCCCAGGATATCTGGGGCAGAAAGGTCTCAGGGAAAAACAGGCAGAGAAAAGGGGAGGCCAGAGGTAGATTCTGTTTCATCATTTGGTTCCTGGGTCATCCTGTCTGGAGGCCCTGGGCTCAGCAGCTCTCATCGACCATTCTGTGGTGTGTAAACCTCACTAGTGTTGTTGTTCCCCCCATATGGCTATCTATTGCTTAGCTGAAAACTGAACCATGGTGGTAAACTCAGTTCTAGACTTGAAGGGTGACCAAAGGCCATAGTCTTAGGGCTGCACCCATCTCTGTCTGACCAGTAATCCTGTTTGTTTGTTTGTTTATGATTTTGAGTTTTGTTCCACATTGTCTCCCGCTTTATCCAAGGCCTTCTAATGTGATCCCTTTCAGAACAGTTTGTATGGTAGCCAGGCACCATCTAGTTCTTCTGGCCTCAGGACCATGGAGACTGATGCTCACATGGTTCATTAGTCTACTGGACTAATCGTTTGCAAGCATCTTCAATTTTCATCACTCTTCTTTCCTCCAGACAGACAGAGACCAATAATTGAACCTTAGATGGCCGCTCATGAGCTTGTAAAATCCTGGCGGTAACTTACTTAAGTGGAGTTCTGGTGTGGCGCTGAAGGATAAGCACTGCTACTCATAAAGTTGGAGGTTCAAGCCTACCAGCCACTCCTTGAAAACTCTATGTTGTTGTTGTTAAGTGCCGTCAAGTCGGTTTCGACCCATAGCGACCCTGTACAGGGTTTCCGAGGGTGTAAATCTTTTCTATACAGGGTTGGAAATGACTCAACAGCACTTAACAACAACAATCCACCAAAGTAGGCTGCACAATGTTGTCTTCATGAACTATGTTATGCCAATTGACCTTGGTGTTTCCCTAAACTATGGTCCTGAGCCCCCAGGCCCAGTGACTTATCCCTTAAAGTGTTAGGTAATGTCTAAGAAGTTTACATCATTTTGCCCTATGCTCCACCAAGGAGCCCTGGTGTGGCACTGTAGGTTAATGCACTGGACTGCAAAGTCGGTTTGAACCGCAAGATTGGCGGTTCAAGCTCACCAATCACTCCTTGGATACCCTATACAAAATCACTATGGGTTGGAACAGACTAAATGGCACTTAACAACAACAACAATATTCCACCACATTCATGGATATATTTATAGCAAAGGCAAACAAACACCCATGTGCAAATATCCTGAGTCAAACCTATATATATATTTGTGGGTACTCATAGTGACCCTGTATAGAGTTTCCAGGGAGTGGTTGATGAGTTTGAACTGCCAACCTTGTGGGTGGCAGTCCAGTGCTCATCCTACAGCACCACACCAGGAATATATATATCTGTTGTTAAGTGCCATAGAGTCCTACAGCCATTCAGCCTGAGTGTCATGTATGTAACTACCTGTGGATCAGTGTTATTGCAGGACTGTGTTTATAGCAGTATTTACCTCTAGTGCCTTTACCCTTATACTCTTCCCCATATATATAAGTTTTAATGATTGATTAATTAACTAATTATTTGATTGATTGATTGATTACTTTTTTATTTCTGCACACCAGTGGGTTTTCCTGATGTAAGCACATCCCACTTTGGGGACAAAGATTATTTACAAAGGTTGCCAGCTGTTCCTTGGAAACCTTGTACAGGGCTGCGATGAATTGGGATTGACTCAATGGCACTTAACAACAACAGATATATATATATATTCCTGGTGTGGTGCTGTAGGATAAGCACTGGGCTGCCACCGCAGGGTTGGCAGTTCAAGCTCACCAGCCACTCCTCAGAAAACCTATACAGGGTCACTATACAGGGTCATAGAAACCAATTAGACAGCACTTCAACAACAACAACATATATATGTATATATTTTACATACGTATGTACCCGTGTGTGGTTACGTATGTGCTCAAAGTATTTTTACTTGATTTGGCATGCAATTAAAAAGGCTTGCGCTCAATACTTTGTGCTGTCTTTGATAGGGTCCACAGGTCTCTGTTAACAAAGGGCTTCATAGTCATTATTTTGTTTGATTATCACAACAATTCTGGTGGGGTAGGCCTATTCCTATTTTTCAGACAAGAAAGTCAAGCCCCAGAAAGGTTGGACGACGCGTCTGAGGTTGCACAGCTCGCAAGTGGCAGTTCTGAATCTGGAACCCAGGACTCTTGACGGCTCAAGCAGAGAGATAAAGTTCACAGGTTTGCAGCCAAACTATCTGGAATGAATCTTGGCTCCACCACTAACCTAAATGACCTTGGACCTGTTATCTTTTCTCTCTCATTAAGCCTCTGTTTCCCCAACTGTAAAATAGGAGTAAACAGTCCTTCAAAGAGAAGTAGCCTGCTTTTGCTTCCTTGGATGATCGGACTGGGATACTCACGGCAGAGGTGTGGGGTCCGCCAGTCGACAGGCACTCCATGCTGGCAGCATTGATGGGCATAGGCTGACACGCTGGCACAGAAGCACTCACAGTCACCACCGCGGCTGCACCCACATGTGTCTGTCAGGCAGTTTGAGTAAAACCAGGTGACATCAACCTGACAGAAGTCAAAATTCAGAGGTCAGAGGCCAGGCTCTAAAGAGCCACACCTTCTTGGTGAATGTCCCCCAGCCTCTGAGAGCAGCATTAACATGGAGGGATGTCTGAAGTGGGATGAGGGGAGGAAGGCAGCCAGTTGGGAGGGAAACCAGAACTGGATAACTCAATTCTCTCCTCTCTGAGCCTAGGCTATTTGATCCAGAGGCTAAGGATATGGCTGCGGAACAGGTGTGGGGGTTGAGCTTCCAAGCCAGGACCAGAGATAGTCAAGGCCAGCCCTTAAGGCCCTAGAGGGTGCCATGCATTGCTAAGTGCCAGTTTTCCTCTGTCTCTAATGAAGGCAGACGGGCAACATGGATAACTCTGCATGAGGGGTTTGGGCTAATTACTCAGAAGAACTTCCTGGCAAGGATAGCAAGCCAGATTGAGATGGGCTTGAACATGGCACAGAAGATCCTGCTGTCTGTCTGTCTGTCCCTGGCTAGCTAAAGAAAAATAACACACATTTGTCTGAATAGACTGGAGGCAGGGGAGTAGAAGAGCTGGGTCTCCAGCTGTAGGCCTGAGTGGTACCCCGTCCCAGACACAGGGGTGTCTGAGCACAAAAAGGACTCAGGGAAGTGGGAGAGGGACTGGAGGAGACTCACCACAGGATGGCAGCTCTCAAACACCTCACTGAGGAGGATGCTGCACTCTTTCTTGGCAAATGGTTCTCGGAGAGGATTCAGAACACATGTGTCCCGGGCATCCAGGGAGTCTGGGCACTGAGGGGACAAAGGTGGGGCTGTCTCTTGGTGTGGTCGACAGACTCAGGGTGGGCCCCATAGTCTTCACCTCTTGGTGGTCATACCCTTGAGTGTCAGAGCCCCCTATGAGTTGGGCCTCATAGAACATAGCAATGATCATGGGACGGGCATGGTTGTGCATATGTGGTTACATGATTATGTGACAGAAGACTGCAGAGCTCATCTTGCTCTTCCTTGTGGGCTGTGAGGAAGCAAGCAGCCATGTTGAGGACCCTCATATGGCAAGAACCTGTGGGTGGTCTTTAAGAGCTGAAGGTGACCTCTGACCAACAGCTAGCAAAATAACCTCAAACTCTTGGCCCTACACTTACAGGAGCTGAGTGCTGCCAGGAACCAGGTAAGCAGGGAGTTGCATTCCTCCCCAGTTGAGCCTACAGATAAGAATGCCTCCCTGGTTGACATCTGTATTGTAGCCTCATGAGACCCTGTTAAGCTATGCCCTGACTCCTGACCTACAGAAATGGTGAGGAAACACGACTGCATGTGTACTGGTTTTAGCTACTAGGTTCGTGGTCCTATGGTTACACAATAGTAGATAAGTTCCCATGTCTTCTTTCCTCAGGTCTTCCTTTTCACAGGATCCCTCCTGTGTATGCCGAGGGACAGAAGGAATGCACATGGGTATGGAGCCACAAGCCCCCTACTCAGCTGCTCTAAAATGGGAATGGGCTAGGACACTGTTTTCTGAGGCTATGGGAGCAAACCTTCTGACAACTCAGGATTACGGAGAAGTCATAAGTCATGATCACCTGCTTCTCACACCCACACACATCTACACAGGTTCATCTTTGTCTGCTCCCCAGCAGGGAATGACAGGAAAGGCAAATATGTGTACACGATCACAAATCTCAAGATAGTTCTCCACACAGCTTATGAGGTAACCTTTTCTAAATAGTCAGAGTTGTCATGTGAGGTGAATTTATTCACCCATCTCCTGGCACAATGCCCTCCTTCCACAGGAGGCCACAGAGAAGATGGAATGTACTCAAGAATCACTTAACCAGTGTGGAGGATCCAAGACAAAAATCAGGTTTCACACTCCCAGTGCCCTGTGTCTCCCCTGCCCCTCATCTCACAGTTCGAGAGCTCCAGTCAGACAAATCTGAAGTCCTCATTCCCACTTTTGCTCACATGGCCCTTCCTCTCAGAGGCCTGTTTGCTGATACATTCACCTACTTCAAGGACCAGCAGCACTAGCCCCACCTTCTTCAGGAAGGCTCCGCTGGTCACCTTAACCTATATGAATCTCTCCTGGTCACTCCTCTGTGCTAGACCTAATGCCAGGCACTGGGGGTACAGAGACGGATAAGATGGTCATAGCTAAATGAGCCTCACTTTTCCTAATTAGACAGTCAACTTTCCTAAGACAGAGACTTTGTCTTCTCCCAACCCACCAAGGCTTGATCCAGGGCAAGGAGGGCAAGCAGACCTACAAGGCAATGAGATGCATGTCCTCAGGTTATAAGGCAGTCTAGGGCTGGGGATGCTGGGTTGGAGGCTGAGAGGGTACTGCTGTCTTCTCCCCTGGCTAGGAGCCAGGCCCTCCCAATGCTGACAAGCACCCTTCTGGGTAAAAGGTATGAATCAGTTTGGGAAACTTTACCTCAACTGCAGCCCAACTGCTGCCAAACTCCTGGGGGTTAGTTAGCTCTAAGTTCTCTGGGGTTCTCATCTCATTGATGGTTTTTAAGTCGAAGTTTCCACAGAGTCCTGTCAGCTGTCCCTGAGCAAGAAGGCCACAGTTAGTCATAGGAATTCAAGGGGTCAGTCATGGGTAGAGGGGTCACCACAAGCCCAGAAGTCTAACATGGACTCAGTGCAGCAGAAGGAAACGGGAAGGTCAGAGAGGAGAGGACACAGACGGATGGAGAGGATAGGAGAGAAGAGATGGTGCTCTCAGCTCCTCAGTGAGGGTACAGCTCACCCGAGGACACGCAGTGACTTGGCTTAGTCCTGGACTGGTCACATGCTTACCTGCCACTGAGGCCCAGCCTGGATGTGCACTGTGGTTCTCTGGTCCCATAAGAGAGTGATGTGCTCCCTTGGGAAATGTACCAGTGTGAAAAATCCCGCTCGCCATGTGTGGACCTCCTGTTTTTCATCCAGGAAACTCTCAGGACTCTGGGGGAGACAGAGATGGTCAAGAATGCAGCCTGAGTGCCTCCCAAAGCCTAGATCAGCTGGATCTAGCTACAAATCACTGTCTAGCCCCAGGGCTTCACCCTCTCCATTGCCTCCCTCCATGCCTTATATTGACCTCTGTAGTCCTGACCACAATCAAGAAATTCAGTCTGGGCTCCTCACTCAGCAGTACTCTAGACCTTAGCCCTCTTCTGCCCCCAGCCCTCTGGGTAACCTGGAACCTATACAACCTTCTAGCTATACAACCTTCGCCTATATGAAGCCTTACAGGATTTCCAGAGTCATCGTCAAAGATGATGAGTGAGTTCCCAACATTGATGGAAATAAATTTCCTGCAGATGATGCCAGAGCCGTAACAGTTCATGTTTTCTACTATCACAGAGAAGCTGAACTCTGACGTGCTCTGAGGAGAGAATACGTTAGTCTAATAAAGCCAAGGAGTGAAGAAATCCTGCTGAGCGGCACTAAGGTAGAGACACCAACTCTGAAGGGGTTTTGAATCCTTAACTACTCCTTACTAGACGTGTGACCTTGGGCTATTTACTTCAGTTCCATTTCCTACAGTGCTGAGTATGTAGTGGCTCTCAAAAATGTATGCAACTCATACAAAATGGGAATGATCAGTGTTGGCAGAAGTGGGAGAGGGCAGGGCCACTGCCTTACATACACTGCTGATGACAGCAGAAGTCTTTGGGGAAGGAAATTTGCCAGCATTGAACAGCATTTCAACAGTACATAACTTTTACATAGAAGCTAGAGATTGATCCCCAAAAGTATTCGCTGCGTTTTAGTGTTTAAATATTGAAAACAACCTCAATACACATCAATAGGAGATCATAAGCAGGCTACAACCTTTCTGTAGAACTCTACACAGTTATTAGAAGGACGAAAGCAGATCTATGCATACTGACTTGAGATGATGTCCAAGAAAAGTGAAAAAATCAAGTTGCAGAATCCTGTTTATATAAGCTAGACAATATTCTGTGTGCATGTGTGTATGTGATGGGAAATGGCCTTGGAGGACTCAGACCAGACTGTTGCTGTTGTTAAGTGCTGGTCGAGTCTGTTCTGACTCAGTTCAAACCCACCAGTTGCTCCTCGGAAACTCGTAGGGTTTGAACTGCTGACCTTGTGGTTCGCATTCCAGTGCTGATCCTATAGTGCCACACCAGGAGTCTTAGGAGTGATTATTCAGTGGAAAGGAACAGAAAATACGTGAAAAGGATTACTTGTTTCCAACACACATTTCAATATTGTTTTAAATGTTAGTAAAGACTATGTAAATGTTAGTAAAGACTATGTTAGTAAAGAATTTGAAATTTAAAAAAATAAAATGGCACGAGGTCCATAATCTTTATCTCATGACGTCTTTGACATTACATACAAGACCCCAGTAGAGTGGCTGCCGTAGAGTCAGGACCCACTCCATGGACGGTTTTTTCATTCTTACTGTGTTATTATGAACAGGCCCGTAGCAAAACCAGTGTCCCCTGGATGTGTCTCCAGCCCTCGGCCTTTTCCCGTTGGCATCCCTTTTCTTCTTTTGGATGGGATCCTGCCTCACAGAGCCAATCCACATCACCATTTCTCTTATTCCTGGTCAGTTTATGGCTTTAGCACGTGGTTCCTTAAGCACATCAACTTTCGAGTCAGATTTCCTGCTTCAAACCTGACCCCAGCTCACATTTACAAGGGGCTTTTCAAAGTTAATGGAAAGGTGTAATGAAAAGATAACTGAATTTCCCCCACAAACTTCTTAAAGTCCTTCACATTAACTGTGTGATCTTAATCAAGATACTTGCCATGGGGTCAATGAACCCTACCTTGTAGGTTTGGTGTGAGAATTAAGTGGATTAATCTCGGGGGAAATGGCTCACCAGGCACATAATAAAAGCTCAATAAGCAATAAATCAAACTAAACCTGTTGCCTTTGGTTGATCCCAAGTCATAGCAACCTTACAGGACACAGGAGAACTTCCCTGAAGGGTTTTCAAAACTGTAATCACTATGGAAGCAGTCTGCCAAATGTTTTTACCTTGGAGCAGCTGGTGGGGTCAGACCACCCATCTTTGGGCTCACAGCTGAGTGCTTAACCACTGTGCCACCAGGGTTCCTTAAAAGAGCATCTGCTCTTATTATTACAGACAGAGAAACCTCAGGATCCCATGGGGCAGGCTGTAAGGGTGAGTGGGCTGTTTGACTACTGGTGGGCTCTGTCAGCCCTGAGCCTACTTCTTAGCAAGTATTTCCATCTCTAGAGAGCCACACACCAGGGCTTGGGTCTTTTCTTCCCTGCAATTAAACGTCAGGCTGGGGTCCACAGCATCAACTTGCCCTGACAGGTACTCCGCCTTGGCTGCCCTGGGTCTCCATAGCACAGTATGGGAGCACATGCAGGAACTCACCTTGACCAGGTGCACTTTGCATGCCCCCACAAAGTCAAAGGGGAGCCCATCAAATGTGCGGTAATGCCGGTCACCGTAGGCAGTGCAGGTGGAGGCGCAGGGGTGGAGAGTGCACTGGAAGGAGCCCTGCTGGCACTCGCTGAAACACACATGTCCACACCAGCTGTCAGGGCATCACCCACACCACACCTTGAAAGCCATAACACAGCCATCACCTACTGTATGCCCACTGTGAGCCTCTAGGCTAAGGGTCAACAAATGTCACCAACCTCCAACAGAAGCTCAGAGGGCAAGACTGTGATTCCCACTTTACATAGAAAAAATTGGGGTCCAGAAGTTAAGGGGCACAGTCAATAAATAATGGAGCTGAAATGTCAAGCAAGGCCAGTCAGCTTGATTATGTATCTTCCTTTAGCCACATTCAGCTATGTGAATGCAAGTGCAGAGGAAGCAAAAGGTTGTGATCTGCCAACAAGTACAGCAAAATGCGAGAGGTACAAGAGAACTGGACCGTACAGACATACCTCCGATACTGCAGATTCAGTTCCAGACCACCACAATAAAGTGAGTTACATAGATTGGCACATATGAAAGTTACGTTTACATTGTACTATAGTCTATTATATGTGCAATCACATTAAGGAAAAATTTGAAATATTGGGAGAATTACCAAAATGTGATACAGAGACACAAAGTAAGCACATGCTATTGGAAAAATGGTACCAGTAAACTTCCTCAACACAGGGTTGCAACAAACCTTCATTTTTATTTTTTTTTTAAGTGATATCTGCAAAGCACAACAAGTAAAATACAATCGAATGAGGTAATGTTTATACTCAAGGAAGTGAAGTTACTGAAGGCCCAGGGGCGTGGGTAAGAAGAAAAGAGAGAACCTGAGGAAGGTAAGAAAGAGCAGAAAGGAGGAGGTGGGGTCTATGGGTTAGAAATCCCCATAAGATTGAAGGCTTGGGGGAGTCAGCGTAGTAGAAGGACTGGCTCATAGAAACAGGGGGTAATGGAGTGGAGCTAGGGTTGGATGCAGTTATTGGGAATGACAAGATCTAGGGTGCGAGTGGGGGCTTGGATGGAGCAGCTAAAGTTGGATGGAGCAAAAGATCACTGGAAGAGAGAAGAAGAAGAATGAAAGGTTCCAGAGAAATAGAAACATCATCTCTAAATGGATACTGAAATCTCGAAGAACAAAGACAGGTGTAGGGTTGGACCGAACGACAATAAGCCTGGAGCTAAAATCCTCAGAAGTAAAGATGTGCCATCTGAGGATACATGGATGACAGCAACAGTAAGGGGAAGGCTGCCTCACATGATGTAGCACAAACACACTCCGCATCTTCCTGGGCCTATGTGCCCATCCTATCACACACTCACCTACATGACTTATCATAACCCTGCTATCTCTGCAGGGCTGCAGACACTCCCACCATGGCTGATTTCATGCTAGCAGCATGCCCTCACTGAAGCCAGAGTCAGGAAGAGATGTGTACCCAGGCCCCATCCATGTAAACAGATCCCAGAGAACCATCAGGCTACAACAGCACAGATGCACCTCCAGAGCCCACCTGTCTACGGGAAAGCATCTGGGATCTGGGACACAGTAACATGTTCTCACAAAGAGAACCTTGAGAAGTTCTGCACATGTATTGTTGTTGTTGTTAGGTGTCATGCACCTATAGACATGCACACACACTGACATGACTTCAAACATGCAAACAAACATGTTTTCATGCAAATACAAACATACACCCAACCTAAACTATTCCTTTATGTGCATCCAGTTCCAACACTCATTTGTTAGTTTGTCATATTGTGGTGGCTTGTGTGTTACTGTGATGCTGGAAGCTATGCTACTAGTCATTTATATACCAGCAGGGTCACTCAGGATGAATAGGTTTCAGCAGAGCTTCCAGACTCAGACAAACTAGGAAGAAGGAGAGGCGGACCTCTCCTGAATGTTCAATCACTAAAAACCTTACAAATAGCAGCAAAGCACTGCCTGGTATAGTATTGGAAGATGAGGCCCTCAGGTTTGAAAGCATTCAAAATGCGACTGGGGAAGAGTTGCCTCCTCAAAGTAGAGTTGACCATAATGACATGAATGGAGAAAATTTTGGAGATCTTCATTGGCTGTGGGAATACAACTCAAAATGAGACCAAACAACTGCAAACACTCATTAATAATCAGAATGTGAAATGTTCCTTCTAGGAAAATTGGAAGTCATCAAAAAGGCAAAGGAACGCATAAAGAGTAATATCCTAAGCATTAGTAAGCTGAATGGCCATTTTGAATCAAAAAAACATATGGTTTACTATGCCAGGAATGACAAATTGAAGAGGAATGGTGTTGCATTCATCTTCAAAAATAAAAGTATTTCAAGATCTGTCTTGAAGTACAATGCTGTCTATGATAGGGTACTATCCACACACCTACAAGGGAAGCCAGTAAATTCCACTATTATTCAAGCTTACACACCAACTACTAAAGCCAGTGATGATGAGATTGAAGTATTCGTACAGCTCCCTCAATCTGAAATTGATCAAACATGCAATCAAGATACATTGATAATTACTGATGGTTGGAATGTGAAAGTTGGAAACAAAGAAGAAGGATCCGTAGTTGGAAAATATGGCCTTGGTGATAGAAATGATGCTGGATATTACATGATAGAATTTTGCAAGGCCAACAGATTATTCATTGCAAATATCTTTTTTCAACAACAAAAGAGGCTACTTTACACATGGATCTCACCAGATGGAATATACAGGAATAAAATTTACTACATATGTAGGAAGAGACAACAGAGAAGCTCAACATCATCAGCCACAACAAAGCCAAAGGATCAATTGTGAAAGAGACAATCAATTGCTCATATGCAAGTTCAGGCTGAAGTAGAAGAAAATTAAAACAAGTCCATGAGAGTCAAATGTGACCTTGAATATAGCCTACCTGAATTTAGAGGCCATCTCATGAACAGATTTGATACATTAGACACTAAAGACTGAAAACCAGAAGACATGTGGAATAACATCAAGAACACCATCCATGAAAAAAAATAAAAGGCCATTAAAAATACAGGAAAAAGAGAAAAGATCAAAACGAATTTCAAAAGAGACTGAAACTTGCTTGTTCTTAAGTATAGGAAATCTAAAGCAATTGGAAGCAAAAGAGCTAAACAGAAAATTTGAAAGAGCACCTTGAGAAGACAAAGTCAAATATTATAATGAAATGTGCAAAGACTTGGAGTTAGAAAGTCAAAAGGGAAGCTCACACTCAAATTCCAGCCTCAGGTTGCAATGTTGAAGGATTCTATGGGCAAAATATTGAATGATGCTGAAGCATCAAAAGAAAATGGAAGGTATACACAGAGTCACTGTATCAAAAAGAACTGGCCAATGCTCAGTCATTTTAAGAAGTAGTCTATGATAAAGAATTGATGATACTGAAGGAAGAAGTCCAACCTGCACTAAAGGCATTGATGAAAAGCAAGGCTCCAGGAATTGAGGGGATACAAATTGAAATGTTTCAATGAGCTGATGCAGTGCTGGTGGCACTCACTCATCTATGCCAAGAAATTTGGAAGACAGCTACTTAGCCAACCAATTGGAAGATCCATGTTTATGCCCATTCCAAGGAGAGTGACCCAACAGAATGTGGAAATCATCTAACAGTATCATTAATATCACATGCAAGTAAAATTTTGCTGAAGATAATTCAAAAGTGGTTGCAGCAGCCTGGCTACCACTACCAATGACTCTCAAAGGGATCGTGCTAGAAGATCCTGGATAGAGTGAGAGGAAGTGTGGAACAAAACCCAAAATGTGGAACTTAAAAAAGACCAGGTTTACTGGTCAGAAAGAAACAAGAGGAACCTGAAACTGAGGCTCTCCACCATCCTTCAGGTCTGGGATGGAACTCATGCTCATGGCTCAATGTTCAGCTATTCAAAATCAAAAGGGCAACATTTTCCTAAGGACCAAGTTGAGAAGGGTTGGTAAGGAGGGTGGAATGGAAATAAGAATCACAAGGAGGAATTGTTGTTACATGGAAGGGATTGCAATCATTGAGATGAAACCAAGTGTATAATTTGATTAATGTAAAACTAATGATCTACTTTGTAAACCTTCACTCAATTCACAATTAAAAGTTCCAAAACCAAAAAAAACAGCTGTAGTAGCATGTGGGCAAAGAGCTGTCAGAAATCCAAGCCAGATTCAGAAGAGAACATGGAATAAGAAATGTTATTGCTGACAACAGATGAATCTTAGTTATAAGCAGAGAATACCAGAAGGATGTTTGTTGTTGTTGTTGTTAAGTGCCATCGAGTCGATTCTGACCCATAGTGACCCTGTATAGGGTTTCCAAGGAGCAGTTCAATGACTTTGCAGTCTGATGCATTAGTCCACAGTACCACACCAGGACTCCAGAAAGATGTTTACTTGTGCTTTATTAGCTATTCAAAGGCATTTAACTGTGTGGATCACAACAGACTACAGATAACATTGCAAAGAAAGAGTGTTCTGGAATACTTTATTGTGATCATGAAAAAGCTGTACTTAGACCAAGAGACGGTCATTTAAACAGGGACAAGGAGCTACGAATGGTTTAAAATCAGGAAAAGTGCATGCCAGGGTTGTCTTTTTTCACCATACTTATTCAATCTGTAGACTGAGCAAATAATCTCAGAATCTGGATTATATGAAGAGGAATGTAGCATCAGGATTGGAGGAAAACTCATTTACAACCTGCGATATGCAGGTGACATAACCTTGCTTGCTGGAAGGAAGCAAAAAGGACTTAAAATACTGATGAAGACCAAAGAATACAACTTTCGTATGGACTGAATCTCAATGTAAAGAAAATGAAAGTCTCAGATCTGGACAGCATCATGATAAATGGAGAAAAGATGGAAGTTGTCAAAGACTTCAATTTACTTGAATCCACAAACAATGCTCATGGAAGCACCAGTTAAGTAAGTCAAATGGTGTATTGCATGAGGCAAATCTGCTGCGAAAGACCTTTTAAAGTGTTAAAGAGCAAAGATGTCCGTTTGTTGATTAAGGTGTATCTGACCCAAGTCATGATATTTTCAGCTGCTCTATATGCATGTGAAAGTTGGACAAGGAAGACTAAAGAAGAATCAATGTATTTGAATCATGGTGTTAGCAAAGAAGATTGAAAATACCACGCACTTCCAGGAGAACAAAAAATTTGTCTTGGAAGAAGTACAGCCAAAATGCTTCTTAGAATAGAGGATGGAGAGACTTAGACTCTGATTCTTTGGACACGTTGTCAGGAGGAATCAGTCCTTTGAGGACATCATGTGTGGTAAAGTGGAGGGTCAGCAAAAAAGAGAAAGATCCCCAATAAGATGAATTGACACAGTGGTATCAACAGTGGACTCAAACATAACAATTGTGAAGATGGTACAGGACCAGACAGCATTCCATTTTGTTGTACACAGGGTCCCTACGAGTTGGAACTGACTCGGTGACACCTAACAGTAACAACAAATGCATGCAGATATATCTTCAGACCCCTACATAACCACATGAAATAGTGAAAGAAGGAATGCTATATATACTGTACTAAAGAGCTTTCTCCCCTTTTCCATCCCTCAGCAAAAAGCAAAGCTTGGGCAGCGCCCTCACTTACCAGGTATGACAGGGAGATGTGACTTGGTCCCCAGGAAAATACTCCATCCCCTTCCATGTGCATGGGCATTCCTCAGGCAGGAAACAGGCATCCCCGTGTCTGAGCAGGCTACAAGGACCAACAAGCAGATGGTCAGGAAGAATGCTTCCCTACACCTGCCATCTGTGGAGCACCCACAGCCACATGGACACCCTGGGGGGATCTCAGCATTTATCCTAGAAGAGGCTGGTGGCCATGATCCCACCAGCCATCCTTCTGCTACCCAGTGAGGTTCCGAGACCCCTCTGTGACTAGCCAAACCAGGGACAGACTAGGCCCAGTTCACAAGTCTGACATCCTTGAGGAAGCAGGGTGCAGCTCAGGAAGGAAGAAGGAATGCCAGCACTCCTTAGGCACCTGCTGTTTACTTATGAACACAGGCATTGCCTCTCAGAACACAGGCCCCAAAGCTACAGGGCTCCCACCCTCCAATCAGTTTCATGACCTCTCACCCACCCCCACGGGGAACCAGAGCTGTCTAACAGCATTATTTGCAATTCTCAGACTATAGCTCCGGCCAGATTCAAGCATCAGCAGGGTCTAAGCTGGGGCAGGGACAAGAACACAGGCATTAGCAATGAGCAGTTTGGGGTTCAAATCTAGAATCTGCCCAGGAAAAGTTATTTAACCTTACTATTTTATTTAATTTTTCTAAATGATACTCATATAATTACATGTTTTTAAAAAGTGAAGTGCAAAAGTACTGCAGATATTATATTGAAGTCTTAGAATAAGCAAATCTTATCTATGTTGACAAGAATCAGAACAGCTACTAATGAAGGGTCCTGGGGAAGGATGAGGGAATTTTTTGAAGCAATTGAAATATTCTGTATCTTGATAATGTGTGAGAAACAAGGTTACATACATTTGTCAAAGTTTAGCAAACTTCATGCTTAGGATCTATGCATTTTACTGTATATAAATCATACCTCACTATTAAAAAATGAAAAGAAAACGAAAGTCAGACATCACAAAGCTCACTGGAGTCTCTGTATACAGAGACCTTATATAGGATTTCCAAGGCTGTATATCTTTACAGGAACAGAAAGCCTCGCCCTTCTCCTGCAGAGTAGCGGGTGGGTTTGAACTGCCAACCTTGTGTTAGCAGTCTAGTGCTTACTCTATAGAGCCACCAGGGCTTCTTGTGCATATGGGTTGTTGTTTTTGTTATTAAGTGCCATCAAGTCAGTTCCAACTCAGAGACACTGTATAGAGTTTCCAAGAAGTGAATGGTGAGTTTGAACTGCCAACTTTGTGGTTTGCAGTCTAGTGCTTATTCTACAGGTCCAACAGGGCTTCTTGTGTATAAGGGTGGTGGTTGTTATTGTCAAGTGCCGTCAAGTCAGTTCCAATTCATAGAAACCCTGTGTAAGGATTCCAAGGAGTGGCTGGTGGGTTTGAACTGCCAACCTTGTGGTTAGCAGTTCAATGTTGAACCTACAGTGCCACACCAGGACCCATTAATTTGTTGGGAACCCCCAAATATCAGTTTCTGTAATGCTTTTTTTCTTGGGCCAGCCAATTTTCAAGAGAAGAATCTTCTTTTATCTCCACCCTGTGGAAGACCATCCTGGAAAGCAATCTGGAGTGGCGGTAAATTTTCCCTACATGTCCATGTTTACTATGCACCTCACCCTCCTGCTGCCCCAAGAACAAAGTGTCTCCAGAGACTCTTACACTGGTCTCCTGGTGGGTGGCAGCAGGCATCTGCTCTTTACACACCCTTGGTGGTGCAGTGGTCAACGTGAGGTTAGCAGTTCAAACCCATCAGCTGCCAGGTGCTCCACGGGAAAAAGACGTGGCAGTCTATTCTGTAAAGACTTCAGCGCTGGAAGTCTGTGGGACAGTTTTACTCTGGTAGCGTAGTGGTTATGAATCGGGCTACGAACCACAGGTCAGCAGTTCGAAACTACCAGCTGCTCCGCGGGAGAAAGATGAGGCTTTCTGCTCCCATTAAGATTTACAGCCTCCGAAACCCTGTACAGGGTCGCTATGCGTCGGAACCGACTCCACAGCACATAACAACAACAACAACAACATAGGGTCACTAAGTGTCAGAATTGACCCCAGGCAGTGGGTTTTGTTTTGTTTTGTTTTGTTTTGATAGCATGAAAAAGGAGCCCTGTGGTGGCACAGTGATTGAATGCTCCATTACTAATTGAAAGGTCAGCAGTTCAAACCCACCAGCCACTCCAAGGCAGAAAGATGCGGCAGTCTGCTCCCATAAAAACATCAGCCTTAGAAACCAGATATGGGCTGTTCTTCTTTGTTCTGTAGGGACACTCTGAATCGGAATTGACTTGGTGGCAGTGCATTTGATTTTGGTTTGGGACACAGACTTTCAGGTCACCCTCTAGTCCCTTTCCTTCCCTCTCCCCTCCTGAGGCTCCCAAGTTCTCCACACAGTGTGGTCTGTCCCTCAGCAAGCACAGCTGTCACTCTCTGCTCTGTGATGTCAGTTTCTACACATCCACCTGCCTTCCTGTAACCTGTCTCATGCCGCTGTCATTCCCTCACCTCTTCTCTTTGTCCCTGCAGGTTCATACCTTTCTTTTCTAAACTACGTTATCAATATTTTCTTGTGATATGGAGGAAGCAGAAAAGAAGCATGTGTTTAATTCACTATGTTTTAGCTAAAACCACTTAACCTTCCTAAGACTCTGTTTGTTCATGTGTGAAACTAGGATAATGACACTCTTTCCCCCCTGGTCATTCTGAGGATTTAATTAGACAGCCGGGCACACTGCCTAAAACCTAGAAGATGCCTCTCCTCTCCCATAATTGCATCAGATGCTAGGGGCTGGTGGGCTCATGTCCTCCCACCTTTGGCCCAGGCCCTATTTCTCTAGTCACTAGGTCCTCCCTGCTGCCCATCATTCACTGCTCTCATCTTGCCTTTTTTAATCCTCTTCATCTCTCAGACCTGACTGCATCTCTAAATTCCCACAGTGCCCATCACCGGGAAGAGCATGCAAAGTTAGAAACCACAGCCTCTGCCCCAGATGCCCTCTCCAGGCTCCCTAAGATGGAACCTAGGTCAGGGAGGACACTGTTGTCTGCTCACATACACTGCATACTCTATCATTTTACAGATGAGGAAATGGAGTCTCAGGGAAGTCGAGTTACTTAGTAGGCAACGGAACCAGGACTCAAGTCTTGGGGTCCAGAGTCTGTTCATAACCATGATGGGGCCCAAGCTGCTGACCCCAGGGCTGTTGGCTCAGCATCCATACAGAAGTGGATGTGAAGCAGTGGATAGTCTCAGAGTCCTGCTTGCAATAGCCCCCATGTCCTTTGGAGCAACACACAGCTCCCAGAGATTCTGAAATATGCTGTGGAGAGGAGCATGATGGCAGAGAAGCAGGCTGAGTGGAAGTAAGGGCTTCTTGTCTTACTCCTTAGTCCACTGGACTTCTATAGCTACTAGACAGCGCTCAGTGCTTTTACCTTGGTGCCTCATTAATCCTCATAGCAATATACTGAAGTAGTAAGCACTGCTATTAGCCCCATCTTATACATCAGAAAACTGAGCTTCAGAGAGGTGGGGCTGCTTTCTTGTCCACAGGCACATCGTTGGTAAGAAGCAGAACCATGTAGAAACAAAAGAGGCTGGACTCCCAAGCCCCTGCTCTTTACCAGACTTCTTACTGGTGATTCTGTTCAGCACTGGGCTACTGTCTCCCTGCAAGACTGTGTGAGGTTTTCCCTGATCCTCCCTGGAGCCCTGGTTCTGTCAGCCCTCAGGAGTGGGAGACCACACCAACAAGAGTGCATACCCCTGTGGGCAGGCACAGCCCGAGAGGCAGGGACCGCGGGCCGGCATGCTCAGCTTCAGCAGCTGCTGCTCACATGTCCTCTCCCTGCTCAGCTCTGGGTCTGTGTGCAGCTCACTGCAGTTCACGAACACTTGGCCTATCGGACAGGCAGCAGCTGGGAGAGAAGAGGGCAGATGCTGTGAAGAACTTGGACATTCATAGGATGCATGAAGTGGTCAGGGAGACCTGGGAGCCCAGCCCAGCATCTGGAACTCAGAAAGATGGGACTCCAGTGCCTCCTCAGGCCCTGGCTGTTGCTGGCACATTGCTTGGGTTCATAAGTGCACATCCCCGGAAGGGATACCCAAACAGTGTGGCAGGATGGCCAGAAAACTGTCATTAACAATAGAGAGAGGTGGTTTCCTGTTACCTGTATTTCTGTGACATAAGCTTCCCCTCTTTCTCTCCCTGCCCCCTTATGTCCTGTCACCCCAGTCTCCTGAGCCTTCAGCAAAGCCCCATATGGTACATTCAGGCCTCCTGTGACTGCTTTTTAAAGGAAAACCCTTTGATCCTTGATGGCCCAGATCAAAGAAATCCAGGACTCAAGGAAACTCAAGGAACTCCAGATACCCCAGATACTCCAGGTGGCTGTCCCCAAGGGAGATTGAGCCCCAGAAAACAAGAGGGACAGTCACTGGAGTGGACTGAGGTTGACAAAGGGTTTGAGAAGACCACGTTTTAAGCTAAAGTCTTTCCCAAGAGGACATGGAATACAGAAGGCCTGGGGTGGGCTCTAGTTCCCTGATTTGTGCTCGAAATATATAACCTTACTACCCAGAAAACCCCACATTTCCCGTCACCCTTACCTGGGACTCTGCTGTCACAGCTCATGACTCCATCTTTACAGTGGCTGCAGGGAAAGAGGCATGGGGTTAGCCCACCCCAGTCACCGTGGGCCCTGGAGACCCCAAGTTACGGCAGGGGTCACACATACAGCCCCGATCCCTGTCCCAGGCTCCCTGAGCTGAGTGGATGAAGGGTGAGTGTCAATTCTTGGAAAGCTCTGCTCAGCTGCATTCTCTTCAGTTGGCAACTCCTATTTAGAGAGAGGACAAGGAGCTCACCAGTGGCCCAGGGACGGGATGTCACTGTCTCCAGGGGGGTAGTCTACTCCTTGGAAGTGGCAGGAGCACTGGTTCCTACAAAACCAGGGAGTAGAGAAGGGTGAACACATTCAGAAGCATAGGACACAAGAGAGAAGAAATGGCATCTACTGTGACAAGTGACATATCACCAGGGAGCAGGAAACCCAGCCTGGCCCTAGAGATAGGGACTGAATTGTGTCACCCCTAAATATTCACTGGAGTTCTGATATCTATCCTTGAGGATGCAATCCCATTTAGGGAAAAGGGGTTCTTTGTTATGTTAATGAAGCCATATCAGCGTCACAAACCATTTGCCTTATAGGACACAGGAGAACTGTGTAAATCTTGGTGGAAACAGATTGCCACATTTCTCCCGAGAAGTGGTTGGTGGGTTTGAACCAACAATCTTTTGGTTAGAAACCATGCACTTAATAATTGTGTTCCCCAGTGTGCTGTTATTATTCTTATGTGCCATGGAGTCGATTCCGACTCAGAGACCCTGTACAAGGTTTCCGAGGCTGTAAATCTTTATGGGAGTAGAACGCCTCATCTTTCTCCCGCGGAACAGCTGGTAGTTTCAAACTGCTGACCCTGAGGTTCTCAACCTGATTCGTAACCACTACGCTACCAGAGCTCCTTATTTTGGTGTAGGGTTATCATAAACCTAATTGCTTTTTCTATTTAAAAAGGGCAGCGTAGACACAGAAACAAGGAAGTTCAACCACGGAGATCTATGAGGAACGGAGGAACAGCCACATAGCAAGATTCCAATCTTCCCCTAGGCCGGTGGGAGAGCCTGTGCCTGCTAAACCATGAGCACTCTTAACCACTGTGCCACCAGGCCTCCCTCTGTTAACAGAAAGGTTGGTGGTTCAAACCCACCAGCCACTCTTCAGGAAAAAGATGTGGTAGTCTGTTTCCATAAAGATTAAAAACCAAGACTATAATCATTTTCTCACAGAGAAACTTGAGGGTTCAAACCACAAACTATTTGGTTAGCTCCTGGGTGCTTTAACTACTGCAATACCAGGGATCCTTCTGTAAAGTTTTTTGTTTTGTTTTTTTAATTGCCACTGAGTCCATTTGGGCTCATAGTGCCCCTATAAGACCAGAGACTGCCTGATAGGGTTTCCAAGGTTGCCATATGTTCAAACCACCAAACTTTTTCTGTTATCAGTCAAGCACCTAAACCACTGTGCCACTACCTCAGAAGCTCTATGGGGCAATTCTACTTTGTCCTATCAGGTTCTTTTGAGTTAGAATTAATCTGAAAGGCAATGGATTTAAACCGTGAGGAAATAAATTTCTATTCTTTAAAGGAATCCATTCACTTGTGGTTATTTCTGTTAGAGCAACTCTAAATGACTAAGACAGACCATTTTCCCAGCTGAGAACTAGGCCTGGGAAGTCCATGAGTTCTTCAGGGGAGGCTGCGGAAGCCAGAGGTTTGGGGAGAGGCTCTCATTCAGGAGGTGGGGTAGGCGGGCGCCCAGGAGAAAGACAGGAAGCATGAGGAGAAGAGGGTCAGGGCAGAGCCAGGTGAGCCAGGCAAGAGGCTCTGATGGTGCCAAATGCAGATTCTAGACCTCAGAGTCACGGAGAAGAGAGGGTGGAAACAGTGGCTGGGACACACAGGTTGATGGAGGTGTAGGACCAGGGAAAGGAGCGACAACAGCAAACTCTCCTTCAGGTCCCTCTCTGCTCCCCACCTGAGATGCCCCTGCAACCTCTCTGTCTTTAAGTCCAACCCTGGGAGGGTTGGTTAGAAGAGGACCCCTGAGTACTGAGTCCATGCCTCGTTAACAACCAGACAGATATTCAGCTGGTATTGGCTTCTAGAGCAGATATTCTGGCCATCAGCACTCAAAGTCTCTTCTGATTGGTTAGTGCCTGGGTGGTTCCGCCGGTTAAATAGTTTGACACCGCAGACACAAGGCTAGGCCCTGTACATGTATTGTCTCCTTTACTCCTCACAGGATTCCTATAATCCTCTGTAGGGATTCCCGTGCCATGTGTAGGTCATCTCAGGGCAAAGAATGTCTTCCTCACACCCATCCACAGCACCTGATGATTACAGACACATACAGGCCTTGGTGCAGAGCACTTGAGGACTAGAAGGGACGTCAGAACAGAACCCACTCCCCTTATAACAGAGGATCCCTTTACTAGGAATTCTCAAAGTCAGTGGGTCGGACACAGCACACATTTGAAGCTCAAGGGAGGATTGTAAGGTTTGGAAAGGCCTTTGAGTAGTTCCAATATACCTGCTAAGGGGCCTCCGACCACTCCTCACCAATTGAAGATTACCAATCAAATCTTACCCATTTCACAGATCCATACACAGGCCTAGAAGGAGCTCTGGTAGTGTAGTGGTTACGAGTCAGGCTGCTGACCTCACTGTCAGCAGTTCGAAACTACCAGCTGTTCCAAGAGAGAAAGATGAGGCTTTCTGCTCCCATAAAGATTTATAGCCTCGGAAACCCTATAAAGGGTTGCTGTGAGTTGGAACCGACTCCACGGCACATCATCACCACCACACAGGCCTAGATGGGACCAAGAACCTTGCCAGTCAACCCTCTGGATTCACATGGCATCACCACGGACCCCTCTTCTTGCACACTGTCCCCCAGCCACACTGAGGCCATGATGGGCTGTTCCCTCTGCTTGGAACACTCTTCCTTCGCTTTCTCGGGTCTCTGCTGAAGCATCACTTTAACAGAAAGGCCCTCCTCTCTGCTCACCTCATAGCAACACCCTCTCTGCACCCCAGGACTCCTTGTCCTCCCTCTGCTTTATAGCTTTTGTTACTTATTAAGTCTATGACTATTTGTTTATTGTCTCTCTGCCATGCTAGACCATGGGGAACGCAGTGACTCTGTAGGATAAACACCGGACTATGAATCCCAAGGTCGGCGGTTAAAGTCTACCAGTCACTCCATGGGACAAAGATGAGACTTTCTGCTCCTGTAAAGATTTACAGCCTCAGAACCTCTCTGCAGGGTCGCTGTGAGTTGCAACCAGCTCCACAGCACACTGGAATGTGAGCCCCAGGAGGGCAGGAAATCCCAGTGCCTGAAAATGGTTGGCATACAAGGGGTCAATGAATACTTGTGAGAGGGGAGGGTTTGGAGGGGGCTGTGTGTGAGGAGAGAGACCTCCTGCCTCAGTGGAGTTGGTCTGTCTTGTGGAAGAGCGAGGTTGCAGTGGTCTGGAGAGCTGGAGCTGAGGAGAGAGGCCTGGAAGGCAGGTCCAGAAGAGGGAGCCCACCCACCCACCCATTTTAACCCACCGAGGTCTGGCCTGTAACCCTGACATGAAGTAGAGGCAGGCGAGGCCCAATCAGGCTCCACAGCCTTGGATGTCCTGCAGGTCCTCCCTGAGGACAGAGTCAGCTGGTCACTCACCTGGGGACACAGAGGTCAGCCTGGGTGTCCAGATAGGTGTCTTCTGGGCAGGCACAGCCCTCCACACACTCGTCCCCACTGAGGTGGCCACCACCATCACCACCACAGGCCTCAGGGACAGCCAGGTCTTGACAGGTTTGTCTACATGTGGCTACACAGGGGCTGTACTCCTTGCTAGCCTCACAGGACAGCGCTGCAGCAGATGGCAGACAATGTTTTGTCACCATATCAGTGCTGGGATTTGAACCCAGGCCTGACTCCAGAGTGTCAGAGTGTCCCTCTCACTAGACCAGGAGTGACAGTGCACAGGGTGGGCTCCTACCCGGTTCCCTTGGATGCCGCCGCCAGTGTCTTCTTTTCCCTGCAGGACTTTCCTCTTAGCTACCACCCACACCAACCCTGGTCATGTAAACAGGCATGGGAAGATCAAGTGTGCTCCCTCTAGCCACCACTCAGGGCCCTTCATCCCCAGACACAGAGCTGTTGTCTCCTTGCCTGGTGACTGTCCTACTGTCTCAGGGAGAGCCACAGAGACTATCCAACTCAGCTGTTCTCAGCCCCAACTGCACATCAGAGCCACCTGGAGGATTTTTAAAGAGTGATGATGCCTGAATGTGACCAGTTTGGTTGACTCCTAACCGCTAGAACTGCACTATCCAATATGGCAGCCTGGGACCACGTGCAGCCACTGAGCACGTGAAATGTGGCTAGTCTGAGACGTGCTGTAAACATAGCATGCACCAGACCCCAACTAAGCTCAGAAGCAAGAATGTCAACATTTCAATGACTAGATAGCTAATAAGATAGCTAGATAGCAAGTTAGTTAGCAAGATAAAGATTTGGGGTACACAGGTAATATAAAACATAGTTGTTGTTGTTGTTGTTGTTAAGTGCTGTCGAGTCGCGTAGTGGTTACGAATTGGGCTGCGAACCATAAGGTCAGCAGTTCGAAACTACCAGCTGCTCCGCGGGAGAAAGATGAGGCTTTCTACTCCCGTAAGGATTTACACCCTCGGAAACCCTGTACAGGGTCGCTATGGGTCGGAACCGACTCGACGGCACTTAACAACAACATAAAACATAGTATTGATTTTTAAATGCTGATGCCTGAACCTCACTGCCAGATATGTTACTTTAATTTTTAATTGATACTGGATACAACCAAGGCATTTGCTCTTTTTTAATTTTACGTTTCCTTAGTGATTCTAATGTCCAGCCAGAGTTAAGAATCACTGGTCCAATCCAATCATCTCTGAGGAAACTTTGGCTCAGACAGATGCACGTCCTTGTCTAAGGATAGACAGCAAGTTGCCTGCAGAGCTGAATCAGAGCCAGGCCTCGTGGTTCCTACGCTAGTGATTTTTTCATTTAATCATCAAACATTTGCTAACAGCTATGGGAGCCGGGTCTGTGCTAGAGCTGGGGGCCACAGAAGTAGGAAGGGTAGGGGCCACCTCATGCCCATCAAAGCATGTGGGATCAAATCCGAGGGCCACAGGGGTAGGCGACTTTTGGAAAATACACTCTGCTGCCGTGAGAGCAGGCAGCAGGGAGACCTGCTAAGTGTCTCAGACAAGACATGGGTGGATGGCCCCAGTGGCTCTGACTCGAGTGGTGGCAGTGAGGTGGTGAGAAGAGTGATGCTGAGATTGGCAGAACTTGGAGGTAGATTGGAGGTGGGGTTCTCCCAGGTATCACGCTGCAGGCCACTGGCAGGACGGACAGCACAGGAGCCGCAGCAGGGCTGGGGTAGGCTGCACGTGTCTGGGGACACCCTGGTGAGGAGTTTAGGCAGGCAGGTGGACTGACACACAATCTGGAACTCAGGTATGATGGTGGCACACCTATGCCCTCACATGGGTGCACAAACAAGGAGCACTCACCACAGGCGGGCAGGTGGGTGCGGAAGTTGACAGGGAGCCCGTGACGCTGGCACAGGTGGGCGTAGTGAGCCAGCGCAGCACACAGACAGGGTTGCCCACAGCGGCAGGCATCCCGACGACACTGCTCAAAGTAGGGCACGGGGCTCAGGTACGTGGAGCAAGGTGCAAACAGCTCTCCGGTGAGCACACTGCAGGACTGCACCGCATAGGAGGCTGGGGAAGGAAGATGGGGTAAGAAGTGGGCCGTCCAACGTACCTGGTCCCAGCCTCTCCTCTCTTGATGGCTCTGGGGATTGTGTACACGGGAGCATGTGTATGCAAGAGTGCATGTGCACAGCAGGGCTGCAGGCAGATACCTGTGAACACAGCTGGATGGGAATGTGCACCATTCTGGGTGTGTAAGCCCAGGTGTGAAGAGGTGGCTGTCTGTGAGCTAAGTATAAATGACTATGGAGTGTGTGTGTGTGCATCCAGGCACAGATACACACACACAAAATGTATTTCACATGTGACAGGCACAAATCTATCTGCTGGAGAGAGATACACCAGTAAGCAAAACAGACAAAATCCCTGCCCTCATGGAGCTTACATTCTGATGGGAGGAGACAGTCATTAAACACAGTTAATTATATAACACACTCGAAGGTAGAGAATCTAAGGAGAGAATGGAAGCCAGGAAGGAGGGTCGGAGGTATGAGGTGGGGCAGGGGTGGGTGCTATTTAAATCAAGTGGCCAAGAAGGCCTCAGCGAAAAGGTGATAACTGAGCAAAACTTGGAAAAGGTGATGGAGAGCGTACATCTGAAGGAAGAGCATTGCAGGCAGAGGGAATGGCAAATGCAAGGGTTTGTGGCTAAGAGCAGACTAGACAGTGTAGAAAGGACAGCCAGGAGGCCAATGTGGCTGGAGCACAGTGGAGGCTGGGGAGCGGGAGGTGAGGTCAGGGGCTGAGGGAGTAGGCAGAGAATGCAGGGCCCTAGGGGCCACCATGACGACCCTGGCTTTTGCCCTGAGACGTGGAGTGTGTGTAAATGTGTGTGCATGCCAATGGTAGGGCATCAACCTTCCTGTCTACCTGGCCCGCATCTCCTCTCCTGTCCCCTACCTGAAGCAGCCCCACTTGGTATCATCGGAACCAGTTTGGCCAGGAACTCCATTCCCCACCAGCTCACATGCTCTTCATGACCTGAGTGTCCACCTCATTCTCCCTCAAACTAGTACCACCCTATCCCACTTCTGGGTGCCTCACCAGCTTGCAGGTGCACATCACATGGGTCCAGTGGAGAGCCAGGGGCCAGTGGAGAGCAGGCAGACAGTGTTTTCCAAGAATTGCCAAAGAGCTGTGGGGTGCTCTCAGGCACACCCACTGGGGACCTGTAGCCAAAATGCAGTCACATTCACACACAGGTGTATCACATGCACACAGATGGACATACAAACACCCCAGATAAGTCCTCACCTGCTTATCTACACACACAAAGGAAACATGAACACTCTCAATCAGAGGTGTATGTAGACCTACCCAAACACATAGCACATATAGACACTTCACCACACACACCCAGACATACGCTAAACATGTAAATAGCTATCCAGTCATATTGAAAAATATGTAATTACGGATGTGTGCACGCAGACACAGAGACACATATCACATTTAATAAGCTTTGAGAGGGTTCAGTAAGGGCCTGGGACCACACATTGTCCCATCTTTCACCACTGCCCCCCACCCCAGCTCTTCATGTCAGAAAGGAACAACGTGGGACACCATGATGAGTACTAACTCTCACTCAACACTTGGTTAACATTTCTCTTCTTATGGGCAGTTCCTGAAAACTCCTTTACTCTCTTCCTTTCATTCTAGGCAGGAAACGGTCACATGTGAGGGGCAGTAAATAGAACAAAGGGGTAAGTGACATCGCCAGTCTCCAAGAGTCACCAAACCTAGCTGTAGGTGATAGACTAGAGAGATTCTAGTCTAGACCATGGACTTTACATACTTAGAGCCCACCATGCCCACATTACTGACCCAGGGCATGAGAATGCTCATGCCACATAGCATGGCACTGATATTCAAAGTTCACATTTAAAAGAGTGGCAAGCAGGGCATAAACTAACCCAGGCTCTGCTTCCACCATTTGGGCCAACGATCCTAACATCAATCCTACCAGGACAGAAAGGGTGGAATGCCATATTTTCAAAGATACATGCATTTTCAAACTCTCAGCTTTTTCTTGTTTTTGTTTTTCACCATATATTTGATTTTTTACTTTCTGGCAGAAGAAAGCCTCCTATGTTTCCTTCTACATTGCCCAATAAATGTAACTTGAAGGGGTGTGGCCAGAAGTTTGTCTTTAAGGCTCAGTCCCTTGTTCTCTTTTCTGAAAGTCTGATTCCTGTCCCCCAAATTCCTAAACTGTGTTCATTCCAAAAGCAGCTCATCTGTGGCAGCAGTGGGAACCTTCCCCTGAATACTGGAAGGGTCACAGGATGCAAACTCAAAAACCTTCAGACACCCAACAGGAAATGTGTGCCTATTAGACGGCGTGGTGGGATGGTGGTGGTGATGGTTTGCCATCGAGTTGGTTCTGACTCATAGAGACTCTGAGAGGGGTTTCTGAGGCTGTAAATCTTTACGGGAGTCCATCTTTTCCCGCAGAGTAGCTAGTAGATTCGAACTGCTAACCATTTGGTAACAACTCAGTTCGTAATCCACTACCCTACTAGAGATCCTTAGTAGGCATGTTGGTTCACTAGGGCTTCCACGCATGTAAAGGTGCTCACAATCAATTCAAGCAAATAAAAATAATAAAGGAGCCTTGAGCCAAATCCAACCCAGTCTGAGATACTAACATTTTAAGACTTCATTGTAAAACAGTATTTCTAAACAAGCTTAAGATTAAACACAAAGGAATAAAGTTGCAAGTGAGGGACAATAGAGTTCATGGGCATGGCAGTTTTAGGCACTGCTTCTGGATGCTCAAAGAACGCCTGGTGGCGCAGTGGTTAAGCGCTCGGCTGCTAACAAAGGTTGACTGTTTCAACCCAACAGCTGTTCCCTATGAGAGAAAGATGTGGCAATCGCTTCTTTTAGGATTTAAGACCTTGAAAACTCTATGCTGCGGTTATAGTCTGTTTTGTAGGATCACTACAAATTAGGATAATCCAACCACAACACTTTTTAGGGGCCTGGCTTTTCTGCCCTGCAAGCCCGCCTACTCCTATTTCCACTTCCGGGGCAGGAGCACATACAGGAAGTCGTCTTGCGTGTTGCCGTTGAAGGTGCCACAGAGGCCCACGGTATCTTCCACCCATCGCTGGTCCACCTGCAGGTAGAGCCGCAGTCCTTCGTGGTCATAGAGCAACCGCACGCCCACGTTGGTCCTCACCCGCAGGAACACAGAGGACAGCCTCCGGATCTCAAAGGCATCTGAGCACAACTGGAAATGAGATGAAAGGGCAGCCAGTACCCATCCCACCCAGCGCCATCACCTCCATGCCCCTCTCGGACGCCCGATTCCTGCCCAGTCTTCACCCCAGGGAAGCCCTGCCGTGGAGATGGTTTGGGGAGCCTTGAGAAGGTCTTGTTCAATAATGAAAGTAGAGGCCAGAGATGCCTACAACAGCAACCCCAGCTTAGAAATATATTCTAGCATTAAGTACCAATTAAAGCTTTGGTCTCCCTACAGATTTAGAATATTCCTTCTTTGAGAACAATGAGAATTCTGTATTATTTTCTCAGTGGCCACCAAGAAGATAACAATACAGATGTTAAATTCAATTATAGCAAATTTAAATGTTTGGTTTAATTATAGAATTGTAGCTAATTTTACAGCCTTATGGCTACATTTCTGTGGCCTTTTCATATGCCATCTTCATTTCCCTGGATCATGACCCCACCATTCCTTCTTAAAGTCTGTCTCCCTGGTGCTAGATTTTAGTTCTTAATCGTTTTGCCATCTGTGTTAGCTGTGCTTCCTTTGAGATGCCACAAATCCCTGTGGGATCAGGCAGGATGATAAGGAATTAATAAATACTGAGAGCAAAGATGGGCACTGGCCTCATTCATATGGGAATGTTAGGTGAAGCCATGTCACTTCTATGCTGCCCACTGCCATGTTGGATTTAGGACATTCACATTCTTGGAGCCTTTGTCCAGAGGGAACTGGGAGAAGAACCCTGGACAGCCAGCTCTCTTGTCCACTCTAAGCCATACCGTCCGTATAGGGTGGGGTGATCTTGTACTGGTCAAACAGGAGGACATCCCCTGCCTGGGTCAGGGTCACCTGCTTCAGCAGGTCCTGGTGCAGAATCACTGAAACTGACTGGACACAGGCCCCGTCCTGGTTCTAGAGAGAGGGAAAGGTCAACAGGGCAGTTAGTTTATCTGACCGTGTTGCTGTTGTCAAGGGTCATCAAGTGGGTTCTGAGTCATAGAAACCCTGTATGTATAGATAGGGTTTCTGTGAGTTTGAACTGCCGACCTTGAAGTTTAAACTGATCTTGAAGTTGAGTACTTATCCTATGGTGTCACGCTGGCCCTAAAAGTACCCTCCAGGGACAGGGATTCTATCCCATTTTAAGACCGGGGGTTGACTTTTCAGAATGACAGAACCCAAATAACTCCTTCTCAGTCTGTATTATTCTGGAAGCTCAGCTGAAACCCATCCCCATGGGTGACTCTGTTGCTATTTAAAATAACAGTTGCATAACGTCCAGCATCAAAGCAACACACAATCTACCACAATCCAACAAACTGACAGAGAAGTGGTGGCCAAAGACACCAAAGATCATTAAGCCCAATGCTGTCATTTGGGAAATGAGTAGTGGGGCTCATATTGGAGAAGTTAGTGAGATAATAATAATAATAATAATAATAATAATAATAATGACAGTTGACTCTCAGGTTGTTCAGAGACACAGAGCAGAGATGAACCTTAGATAGCCAGGGTCTAGCCTTGAGAACACTGGCCTCCCTCAACCCTAAACCATCCTTTTACAAATGTTTCTCTGTTTCTCTAGCTCTTTCCATGTGTCATATACAGATAGGCAGGAAATGAACAAATATGATCTGGGCCTCAAGTTATTCATCTCTGAAATGATTGGGTTCATTCCTACTTCCCCATGAATTGGAACCAACTTGATGGCACTTAACGACAATGAAGTGTTAAAGATCAAAGGTGTCAGTTTGAGGACTAAGGGGCATTCTGGCTGTACTTCTTCCTGACCCAAGCCATGGTACTTTCAATCACCCCATATGCATGTGAAAGTTGGACAATGAATAAAAAAGACTGAAGAAGAATCCATGCATTTGATTTATGGTGATGGTGAAGAATACTGAAAGTACCATGGACTTCCAGGAGAACAAACCAATCTGTCTTGGAAGAAGTACAGCCAGAGTGCACCTTAGAAGACAGGATGGTGAGACTTTGTCTCTCGTTCTTTGGACAAGTTGTCAGGAGGGATCTGTCCCTACAGAAAGACATCTTGTTTGGTAAAGTGGAGGGTCTCTGAAAAAGAGGAAGACCCCCAACCAAAATGGATTGACAGTGGCAGCAACAATGGGCTCAAACATAACAATTGTGAGGATGGTGTAGGACCAGGCTACTTGATTGCACCTAACAACAACAATGTTCGGTGCTATTCTGTTCTCTTTATATACAGTTACTAATTTAATCCTTATAGCAATTCTGTTATGTAAGTCTACTAACAGTCCCATTTTGAAGATCAAAAACTAAGGCACAGAAAGGAAGGGATGTTTGAACTGAGAGTTGAAGGATACACAGAAGCTAACTGGGCAACAGAGGATATTTCTTGAAAAAAAAGGCCAGCAGGAAAAAAAAAACCAATAACGGCAGTCAGATTGACTATACTACAAGAACAAGCTAGTTGTTCACAGGGGAGCCATCAAGGGAAGCAATCAAGTCCCCTCAGGGCAAACCCCCTTCCAAGACTGAAATTCAAAGGGAATACATGAGCAGGCATGTAATCTTGCTGGTGACCACGTTGGTCTACTGATAAGGGGAAGTGGGTGAAAAACAGCAATGAAGCTGTCAGCTAAGTCTAACCACACTCAATAGACTCCTGTCAACCTGGGTTGTGACCTGGTTTGCCGGAAGTATAGCAAGACCTAGGGACTCATGAGCCCTGTAGTCACAGAGGACTAGAGTGGAGATTGAAGTGTCCAGCTGATGTGAAGTGAGGGGAGATGCACAAGAACGCCCATACTTGCAGATGGTAGCCATTTGATCTAGCTTCAATGGGTAGATGAATAGAACTCGACTAGAGGAAGAAAGAGGAGGAAATAAAGTGTAATCTGCTACAAAATTTGATGAACTTGATCTATACTTATGGATGTAGTAGCTTATAAGAGAGAATGAATCTATACAGCAAGGATCATTCCCACCCCCTCTGCACACAGGGTTGACAGGGATAGACATTGGCTACCCAAAATGGAGGGGGCAACAAAGGCATGAAGTGACTGGCTTACAAGTTTTCAAGAAGGAGCTTAGTTTTCAGAAGGTGCAGGGAAAGGTAGAACCTCAACTGTCCAGATGGGACTGGTGAAAGGCGATGGGGATGACTCTTGTGGTTCAATAGTGAATAATTGCTATCAGGACTGCTTGTGAATGTTGCAAATGTAAAGGTAGACATTTTGTAACAAAATCTAACTGGGCAAAGAGAAAAAGGGAGGAGGGGACACCCAGGCAGGAGGTAGCCCTGACACAGAAGCTGTTTAATGCATCTCAGGGCATAAAAGAAAGCCCGAGGGAACTGGGCACAATGGTTTAAGGTGATGCTCAAGAGGCAGGCACTGAGCATCTACGCAGAGCCCTGAAATATTTTTGGACTTTATCCCGAGACCAACCAAGAGCCAGAGAAAGCATAACAGGAGGGTGATGCAAATCAGTACAGTGAAAATGAGATGATCTGGGCTTGAAACTGCTCAGAAAGACATCATGCAATTAGCCACTCCTTCCAAGTTCCTGCCCAGAGAGACAGGAGATCCCTGAAACAGCCCGACTAAAGTCTCAGCTTCATTTTAGCTTCATCTTTGATTTTTCATGCTTCTCTCCCCAGCCCCCATCTCCACCACACTTACCAGTCAGTCAGTCAGCTGCAGTGTCTTGCTCTCTGCTTTAATGCATTATAGGACATTCCAACTTCACTGTTTTTCTGTATATCTAACCTTTCCAGACTGCCCTTCCCCGCCATACATATGTGTGTGCTCTTTTTATCTTTTCAGGCTTAGATCAAATGCCACCTTTGCCAAGCAGCTTTCTCTGATCCTTTCTTCTGACTTGCAGAGGCTGAAGCAGGGTGACCAGGGAGTCGGGGTCAGAGGACGGCATCCCTGGCTAAGGGGAATGAGCCTATATGCTATTGGACAGGGAGGAGTTTGGGTAAGACTTGGGCCAGGAAATGGAGGGCTGGCTCAGCTGTCCAGTAAGTAGCAGGAGCAAGGCAGTCATCACTAAGTGATAAAACAACCCTCCAACCCATGTCTACCCCATGCCCACAGGTGACCATATATTCACAAGTCCCTGACACAGCCCAGGGATCATCTTTTCCAAGAAGCCTTTTGTGACACATACACACATACACAGAGGAAAACAAAGAGCTTGTCTCCTCCATGCTATCACAGCTCCTGGAACACACTGGGCTATAGGTTCACTTGGCAAGTTCACCCACCAAACTATAAGGCCCAGGAAGACAGAGCCATGTCTAATTCATTCCGTCATCAGTATCTTGCATAGTGTCTGGCACAAAGAGCTGCTTAGTGTCTGCTGAATGAATGATTTGCATGCATGCATGCATACAGAGATGATGGTGGTACCTTCCAGTGAAGCAGAGAAGGAAGTTGAATTAGATGCATTGTCAAGATTAGAAAAAAAAAAAAAAACAACTGAAGCCCAGGATAGGGAGATGACTCACATGCAGAAGTGCTATAGCCACAAGCCAGTCTCCTGACCCTGGCTTTTCCCACAAAGAAGATGCAGCAGGGTGAGTAGAAAGTCTTAAAACCCTGCTCCAAATCCCCCAGCCTATCTAGAGGATGTAGCTCAGAGGGTGGATGGATGGATTGGGTCTAGGAATCTCTCATCTTCCTCAGCCCTTACCAAACCACATGGAGCATTCTGCAAGGTCACTGTGAAGGTCCCGGAGGAACGGCTCTTGGCCAGGATGTATTGACAAGTGGCAGGAAACATGTACCGGCGGCCATCAAAGGTCGTGAAGTGGATGTCACCGGTCACTGAGCACTCAGCTGAGGGGCAGAGGAAAGCTGCTGACCCACAGGATCTGCCTCACAGGCTCGGAGCCGGAGGAGACAGCACCCTGTCTTCAGGAACCAGGGCAGTGAAAGGAGACTCAGATCTCCTTTTGAGAGCCCGGTCATGGGGCAACACACCCAGATCACAGAGGACAATCTGAAGGGAGACACAGCCCTGCTGTGGGGATCTCCATCTGAGGGAAAAACAGATTCTGTGCTTGAAGACCAGTCTCGATCTCCAAGCTGAGGACGGTCCGTGGATACCTGGGACTCTGTGTAATCCCCTCCCAGACAAGGGCTGGAGCAACCTTTAGGTAACTGGGCAAAAGAACCAAAGTGGGCAGACCTGGGCAAGGGAACCAAGTGATCTCCACCCCACCAAAGCAGGCAAACCTGCTCCCAGGATCTCCTACCCAAAAAGTCCAAGGTGGGTACAGACATACCTGGGCAGACGGCTGTGCTGCACACCCATTTTCCTGCTGTGCACGTGCTGAAACAAGGGGCCAAGGAGGCAGGTAGGTACCACCACCCAGGCCTGGGACCTGGCATGGCCCCCCAGTCAGCCTGGCCAGGTCTGCTGTATGCTTTGCTCAGGAGAATGTAGGCCCATCCCATCCCTAGTCTCCCCATCTCTAAAATGGGTGTTGAAGATGTCCCCTACCCACAATGAATTGGCTCTACTGGGATCCCCTGGAACTCAGAAATGTTGAGTCAGTGTCCCCGTGTCCTCAGGCTCCCAGATTCCAGAAGGACCACCTAAAGGGAGACCCCACAGCCACCCCGCTCCCTCCTGGCTGCAGGCACAGACCAGGCATTGCAGTCTTCCTTCACCACGGAGCCAGTTGGGTACAGGATCCCATGGAACTCACAGGGACACTCAGTGGGGGCCACACAGGCCCCATCTTCAAAGATGAGCCCTAGGACAATAGCAGAGGTCCACTCAACTCCTCTCTATCCCTGCTCACAACCCTCCCAGGGCTCCCCATGGCCTGTGATAGAGATCCTTAATCCAAGCCCAAACATTCTTGTTTCCAGCCTGTGAACACTCCCTGAACAAATAATCCCACCTCTAGACCCCACCCACCCTCACACATGATCCTTAAAGTCAGTGACTGTATCTTTAAATTATTTTATTCCACCCTCTGCTCACCAAGGTTTCGAAGCAAGTAAGCTGCACACCAGAGGAGCTCTAGAGGTATATACTCAGTGAAAAAGAGTAAGTCAGTGTGATTGGATGAAGGTTTAAACAAATGCATGTATGCATAACCGAATAAGTGATTCCTACTCATCTACACACCACAAACAGCTCAGTCTCCATCAAATCAAATGCTTTGATGAATCTCTCAAGAGCCTGTCACCTCTCATTTATTAGTAATTTGCTCCTTCCTCCCTTCATCGCATGATCAGGCATCCTCTGAGCTCCAGGCCAGGGCAATGGCGTCAGGCACCCTCCTGCCCAGCATACCATCAGGGCAGTAGCAGCCGTCCACACAGGCGATCTCGCTGTCCACACAGGATGCCCGGGGCTGGCAGGAGGCAGGGCAGCAGGCGATGCACTCGTTGTAGGTGAAGGCCTCCTCCTTGCAGTGCACAGCTAGGGAGGGAGAAGGTGGTTTGATCTGTTGGCTCTGTACTGGCCCCAGCTCCGTCAGGACCCAGTTCTTACCCCAGGACCCTGGGTAGGGATGAGAGGACTTTGATCATCTGATCCTCTTAGTTGTTAAGTGGCATTGAGTCAGTTCTGACTCATAGCTACCCTGTCTAGGGTTTCCAAGGAGCGACTGTTGAGTTTGAACCATGAACCTTGCCGTTCAAACGACTTTGCAGTCCAGCACATTAGCCCACAGCGCCACACCAGGACTCCCCTGATCCTCTAGTTCCAGTGAAATTAGCATTGGCCTGGGAGGCTCCAAGAAGCACTCTGTTTCACTCAGTGACCCTCCACCAGTCCCTCTCCCTCTGAGCCTCAGTTTTTCCATCTGTCCCATGGGAATGGGCCCTCAGAGTTAAAGCTCTGACAACTGTAGTTCTGAAGAGCAGGACAGAACACTGAGCTTGTCCAAGTCCCTCACTGCCCACCACCAGGCTGTACCTACCACACTGTGGGAGCTGGGACCTCCAGCCTATCAGGGGTCGCCCAGCCTGGGCACACGCTCGAGCATACTCTGCCAGTGCCCGACACCAGGTGACTTCATCACCTGCCGATCTGTGCAGGGAGACCAAGCGTCACACAGGAGCAAGGCCCAAGCTCCCAGAGCTCACTAGAGACTTCCAGGGTTTCGGGACACTCCCTCCTCTCCACACAGCTGCAGTAACAGGTATATAGAACCCACAACTGAAGGCAGGAGACCTGATTCTAATCCCACCAGGGGGTGTTGGGCCTTAGTAGAATGGGAAGCTCTGCACCATCCACGTAGATAAAAACTGCAGCGTTCGGGAAGTATGTTTCAGTGCCTGGGGTTATCAGACTCAGGGGACCAGACCCTGAGCCCTCACCCCAATAGTGGGAGGGGTCTTCTCACAGCTCAGTACTTCCCCAGCTCCTGGCTACCCACTCACTGGCAGAGATCGCTGGTACAACTGGCCATGAAGGGCAGAGGGCTGACGTAGGTATGGCAGGCATCAAAGGGGGACTGCAGCAGCACCTCACACCGCTCGTACACACCCTGGATGAGGGTCAGGAAATGGACAGCCCCTTGATTTCACCAGCCCCACCTGGAACCCCCACTTGGACCAGAGGGAGCAGAGAAAGGTCAGGAGAAGGATGGGATCATGGGCACCCAGCAATCCTGGGCCCCCACAGCCAGCAACCTTCCAGGATTGGACAGGAAAAGGAAGCCAGGCACAAGGTTGAGGGAAGGGGACAGGGGCGGACTCCAAGGGCCCAGACCTGCATGGCTACTGGACTTTGCTGCAGGCATGGTGGCCGGGGTGGGGAGGTGGTCATGGGCCCTGGAGGCTGGTTGGGGGCTGGCTCCTGCCAGCTATGCACAAACTCAGTCACATCGTCTGTCAGCTTCCCTGCAGAAGAGAATTGGGGAAAACATGGGATGAGGGCACAGGAGGGAAGGTGGGCAGAGGGCTCCAAGGGAAGGTGGGTGGGACTGAAGAAATGCCAGGAGATGAGCAAGGAGTTAAAGAATCCATTCTCTTATAATCCCATTCCAGTCTGCATTTCTCAGCTGAGCCATTCTCCTCACAAAAGCCATTGGGCATATATTAGTCAAAAATGCTCAAGAACCTGTAGTGGCTCCCTACTGCTCCAAACTCCAGTTCTGAGGAGGCAGTGCCTGAACCTGAACAGATTCCTGCACCTCTCTAAATCTCAGTTTCCCCACTGTGAAATGGAGGAAATAATTCCCCCATGAGGTTATTGCAAGAAATACATGAGTTGACTCAGGCATTCAAAACAGTATTTTGTTGGATATCAAAAAGCCTTACTTCCCTTCTTCTGACCAGAGTCATGATGAGTTAGCACTGACCCTTTACTTACACTCTTATGCTACTCTTGGAGTTCTGGTGTGGTTCAATAGGTTAAGCACTGGACAGTGAACTGAGGTCAATGGTTCAAACCTCAGAAAACCTACACAGAGTCTCTTTGAGTCTGAACCAACTTGACGGCACTTAACAACAACAATACCCCTCGGTAAGTACTTCAGCTGTAACAGGGACCTTTCTCTTCCTGGTTCCTCGCTGGTCCTCTGCTCCCAACACACACACAGAGTCCTTGCAGGGCCAATCCCACCTAGCAAAATGCTCAGCAAAAGTGGATGCTCGTTGGAAGGATGAATAAACAAGTGAGGATCTAATTGTTTGGAGGAGCAAAGGTCAGAATTGTCACTGCAGAAACCATGTGAAACACAAAACCTGGAAGGTACGCTCTACGTCTTCTTCTTGTTGTAGTTAAGTACTGTTGAGTCGGTTCTGACTCATAGAGACTCTGTATAGTGTTTCCAAGGAGCAGCTGGCGAGTTTAAACCACTGGCTTTGTGGTTAACGGTCCAGTGCTTGCTCTACGACGCCATACCAAGACTTCTAGGAACTCTCATTCTCACTATATTACATATGAGAAAACAGAGGTTCAGAGTAGTTAAGAACATGAGTGAGGATACACAGCTGGTAGGAATGGGCCCCTGGCCTCCCACTGGGTTTTTAAGACCATGACCTCAGGACCCTGTCCCTAGTCCCCTCCACCTCACCCAGCCTGGCCTGTCTCCTACCCACACCAGAACCTGTCAGAGGCCAGCTGTCCTGGGCCTCACCAGAGCTAGTCACCAGGTCGTCCTGGGGGTCAGCATTGTTGTTCCCACACAGCCCACGGGTCCAGCCCAGGAACTCTGGATTCATCTTGATGTAGACAGCTGAGGTGCCATCCCAGGCCAGGGTGAAAGCTTCCTGATGCCGAGCGATGATGTAGCCAGCAAGGCGCTGCAGACGTATGCTCCCCATCACATGTGGCAATGAGACTCTGCACAGTACAACCCAGATTTCTAGGGGCCACCCAGTAACTCAGTCCCTCCACCAGTCTACTACCTGAGGACCTATCACCGACACGGGCCTGCTCATTTGCCTGAGGGTCTGAGGGCCCCACATCCCTCCCCCTGGCCTCTCCCATGCCAGGAGGGGCTCTTTGGTCTTCCAAGGCTTTTAAAAATTGTAATCTCCCTAGAGGGAGAAATCTTAAGAGTGATTGAAATTTTGGAGTCCTTTCTCCAGCTCAGATGGGATACTATAAACAGACATCAACTTTGTTAATTTTTTTAGTGGGGAAGAAGGATGAAGTGGAAAGATAAAAAGCCAAGACAAGTGCTGGGGTGGGGAGGGGTGGGTGAGGAAGCTCAGAGAGAGAAAAACAGACGTGAAGCTACAGGATTCATGGGCACCTTCTCGGTTTTACTGGAACAAGGAACTTTGGCCTTTCTGAAATTTGGCAACTTTCAAACCAGTTGAAAATCAGGAAAGGAAAACAAAAGAAGTTTCTAACCAGTCAAAACGGGTATTAAAAAGGTCCATATAAAACACAAAATCCAGTTAATTCTGACTCACAGTGACCCCGTGCATGTCAGAATAGAATTGTGTTTTGTATGGTTGTTGTTGTTGTTGTTATGTGCCGTGGAGTCGGTTTCGACTCATAGCGACCCTGTACAGGGTTTCCGAGGCTATAAATCTTTACGGGAGCAGAAAGCCTCATCTTTCTCCTGCAGAACAGCTGGTAGTTTCAAACTGCTGACCTTGCGGTTCACAGCCCGATTCGTAACCACTACGCTACCAGAGTTTTTAATAGGTGCTTTTTCTGAACTAGATAGCCAAGCCTTTCTTCCAAGGTGTAGACTTAAAATTCTAATCTTTCAGTTAGCAGCCAAGTACATTATTCACTTGCACTATGTCTACCAATCTTTCATTCACAGGAGAAACCCTTGAGCCTTCAATTTTATACTCCTCCCCCAAAAGTCTGGTTGCACAGCTTCCAGGCCTGAAGCAGAAAATGAGAAGGGGCAGAAGGGGGTCCCCCTGACAGCAACATGAAGCGATGACAGTAAAGGAAAGATAGCAGTGGAAAAGAGATGCAAGTAAGAGTTCCGAGAGGACCACAATCTGGGGCTATTCAATGTGTCCCCAAGAAAGATAACTGATATCCAAAATGATCTCATGTTATCAAACTATGGTGAAAGTGGACCAGTATCTGCTTTGAAAATGAGGACTCGTGTGTGATCTATTTGGTAAGATCTCCATAAAATCATGGAGAGAAAACTATGCATTCTCATCGCAGTAACTGACTCATAGACAAATAACAACAACTGCATAGTGGAACACTCTCCACTGTCTAGAAAACTCAGTGATTTGCCTTAAAACCTACAGGATCTAAGAGTTTCAGAAACCCACGAGGGATTTACCCTTCAGCATGTTCCTGCCCTAGTGGTGGCGATTCTACTGTTTTTCCCCAGAAAGCTTTCTCCTTTAGGCTTGAGCAGGGCAGATGATCACCCTTTCCATCCCCCCATCCCCCAGCACCAGGGAGTAGAACAACTGAAGGTAGAAGGTGTTCATTACCTCACGCCTCCGTGGGTGACCTCCTTGGCCAGACGGATCTCTTGCTCACCGGAAAAGAAGAGACTGACAGACCTCGAGCAGGTGTAGGGGGAGGAACCACACTGCGGATCATTGTGCACCTGAGTGGGCAGGTGTAGGGGGAGGAACCACACTGCGGATCATTGTGCACCCGAGTGGGCAGGTGTAGGGGGAGGAATCACACTGCGGATCATTCTCACTATATTACAGATGAGAAAACATCTGTAATATACAGATGTGCACCCGAGTGGGCAGGTGTAGGGGGAGGAACCACACTGCGGATCATTGTGCACCCAAGTGGTCAGGTGTAGGGGGAGGAACCACACTGTGGATCATTGTGCACCTGAGTGGGATGTTCACAGGCCAGTTTGCAGGGTTCCTGGCACAGGTTCTGAGCCCAATAGACCCTTGTTGAGCTTCCACCCCTGACACGACACGTACTTTTCCTCTGTGATCTCTCCCAGTCCCCACAACATCACATGGAGGTTGTTAAGCACCATCAAATCGGTTCTGATTCATAGCGACCCTGTATAGGGTTTCCAAGGAGCAGATGATAAGTTTGAACTGCAGACCTTGCAGCTCAAACCATCCTTATGGCTGAGTGCTTATCCTACAGTGCTACACCAGGACTCCACATTGAGGTAGGAGCTATGATTCTCTGCATTTTCAAGAGGAGCCAACCGATGCTCAGAGAAGCTAAATGACTTAAGTCACACAGATAGCCAGGAAATGGCAGAGCCGGGATTCAAACCCAACTCTGGACGGTCAAATTCTAGGGCTCCTTTCAGTACACCATGCTACCTCTCAATTTCTAGATCTTTTGTTTATTGATTCCATATACATATACAATAAAACCATCTCATACTCATATAGAACATACATATACCATACTCACAGGGGACTCTCGGGGCACACACTGTGAGCACACACTCCACTCCTATCATGTCCCTGGGAGGTACAGAGTCTAGCCCGCCCTGCAGCATGCTGCACACAGATGCACATGCCAGTCCTATCCTTCATGCCACATGCATGTCTCCTCTGCCCACTGTTCAGACAGAGCCCACACCTGTAAGATCACAGGACCCAGACAGGTAACTTCCTAGTACTTGGGGAAAGGTTTTCAAATGTCTCCCTGAAAACCGTGGCAGCTGTTCCCAGGAACAAACCTTTCACTAGATTACTATGAAATGTGGATGAGCAAAAAACTGGAGCCACTTGGAATTAAATGGGACCTGGGAAAGCGATCTCATGGTCTAATGATGCATTTTCAAACCTGGGAAAGTGATCTCATGGTCTAATGATGCATTTTCAAACCTGGGAAAGCGATCTCATGATCTAATGATACATTTTCAAACTTTTTGTTTGCTTGCTTTATTATGACTCACAGTAAGAAATACATCTATAAATAAAACACCAAACTTACAAAATCATATCTACCTCTGTTGTTGTTGTTAAGTGCCATCGAGTTGGTTCCGACCCATAACAACCCTGTATAGGGTTTCCAAGGAGCAGCTGGTGAGCTTGAACCACCGACCTTACAGTTCAAATGGCTTTGCAGTCTAGTACATTTTGTGTATAATGTATTCTTGTATTGTTTTGTTCTTTTTCTTTTTTTCCTTTGGTGCCCATGGCAACTCCTTAAACTGTTTTCATCGCCCACTAATATGTGTCATCCCACTCATTTAATTAATTACAACATATCCGTCATGAAATGACACAGAAGCATTCTGATTTATGATACCCCCAGGCTGAGAGGAGAGAGTTGGTCACAGTCCCCAGCCCGTAGGGGGCATGGCTCCCAGAGCAGCCTTTTGGCAGATTTATGTCTGAGACAAAAGAGGCAAGCAAAGGAGTACCAGGAAGTGGCACTGAACATGAAAACACTCCCGAATCCCCACCCCCTGGGCCCTAACTCAGTACTGACCAAGAAGCCCTCCAGCAGAATGGCTCCCCAAGTAGACTTCCTGTAGGGTGTAGCTGGGATGATGTGTGCCTTAAGGTAAGTGCGTACTTCTGGTCTGCCGATAGTGAATCCTACTCATGTATTCATTTGACAGACTTTTGCTGAGCACTAATCCAGGAGTCCTGGTGTGGCACTACAGGGTAAGCACTAGACTGCTAACTGCAAGCTCGGAGGTTCAAATCTACCAGCCAAACCGACTCAAGTTCACTATGAGTTAGAACTGACTCTACAGCACTTAACAACAACAACAATCCAGGTATTAAGGATACCAAGTAAAAAGATATGGTCCATGTCTTTAGGAAATTAATAGCTGGTAGAGGAGATCAGCCCAGAAACATACCTTTGTAAGAGAAATGCAATAAAAGAATAATGACATCAAATCCTGGTTACAGAGAAAAGCCTGTCAACCAACTTGGAGGTCAGAAAATCCAGGAAGTCTCCTTAGAGGAGGTGACCCTACACTGAATCTTCTAGTATATCTTTGAGGCACCATCCCCTCTTGTCTCAGGCTCTTAACCTAGAATGTTTTCCTGTCGCACACTCCCCACCCAAGCCACCCTTCACTTGGCTAGCTCAAACTCACCCTTCAAACCCCAACTCAAATGACATTTCTTCCAGGAAGCCTCCCCTGACCTGATTATCATTCCTCCCAACAAGCAAGGTTACATTTCTGTCACACTCTTTCAGTGTTTGCCATTTCTCCACTGTAGCACTCAGTTGCAATTGAAATGATTCATTGGATTTGATGTGTGTTTTCCCCAGTAGACTACGTATGAGCTCTGAGGACAGAGACTGCATCTATGATGTTGTTCACGAAGGCTTGTGTCAGGAAAAGAGTACCAAACTCACTGCCATTGAGTCGATTCTGACTCATCACAACCCTATAGGACACAGTAGAACGGCTCCTTCTCTCTCCCTAGACTATAAATCTTTACCAGAGCAGTCAGCTTCAACTTTTGCCTGCAAAGTGGCTGGTGGGTTTGAACTGCCAACCTTTTGGTTAGCAGCCCAATGCTTAACCCATTGTGCCACCAGTGTTCCTTAGAAAAGAGTACAGCACACACTAAATGTGTACTTGATGACTGAGTGATGGAATGAATGAATGGCCAGGGGCAACCAGGATAGAGCGGGGGAGAGAAAATCAATGCCCAACACTGAGGACCAAGGAGGGTGCCAGCCTCTAACTACTACAAGCCAACCCAGTCTCCTGGGCAATGGTGTTGTCCTGGCTAGGTGGGGCTGGGAGGGGGATCTCACCTGGACTGAGAAGCTCTGCTCCTCAGGTTCATGGTACCCCACCAGTGTGTAGCTGCTCTTCCCGGACAGGTAGTAGTACAGGCCATCGAACGTCTCCACATGGTGCTGTCCCCACACCCGGCAGATGCTGTCCCGCTCAGGGCCGGCATTGTACACTGAGCCAGGGAAAAAAGAACCTCTCTGTGTAGTCATAGTGGATACCAAGCCAGGTTGACGGGTCCCAGGCCTGGCCGAGCCACCCTCATCCCACCCAGACCAAGACCCCTATACCTCAGGTCCATCAACCTTGCCTGCACTCATACCCCTTCCCAGGGGTGGAGCCCAAACCTACCCATCTGGCAGCGTGGTCCAGTCGCATTGAAGCGTCTGCAGTCACAGAAGGCTGGGTGCACACACTCACCCCCATTGAAGCAGGAGAACAAGTCTGCAAGGGAGATACAGAAAGTTAGCCGCAGCCAGTAATGTACCTCCATCCTCAGGCAGGGGCACCAGGCCTCAGCAGCTAGTCTTAATGAAGGCACCAGCACTGGTGCCTCAGACCATAGCTCTGACCCCTTTCTGGCAGGTAGGTGGGTCTCGGAGTACCTGCTATCATCTAGCACTAGGCAGCCCCCCACCCCTGGGGCACTGTCTCATCTGGGCCCTCAACTCCCTAAGCTGAGTTTCTGGCTGGTGGGCAAGGCAGGCAGGTGAGGGAGAGGACCAGGAAGTGAGCCAAGAGGCACAGCACAAGACAGGGTGAGAGGAGAGGCCAGGGATACAAGAGAGAGGGGTGGGCAATGCCACAGGAAGGGCAAAGACGCCACAAGTGAAGCAGAGAGATAGAAAGAAAAACACAAAACACGAAAGCACAATCTCACTCCAATCAGACAGTGAGACCAGGAAAGCCGCAGGCAGTGATCACAGGAAGAGAGGCCATCAGAGGGAATCTTTTCCTCTACCCCGCAACCTGGAAGGAGAAGGCAGTAGAGCTGAAGGCCAGGCCATGGCTGGGAAGGCAGACAGAGAGCCCAAGCGAGGAGAAGTCACAAGATGCACCAGGAGAAGCTCCCCACCCAACCCCCCCAGAGCCGCACCCATTCACAACTCAGTGGCCCCAGGTGCACGCTTACAAGCAGGTGCACACTTGGCCCGATGGAGACGCCTTTCCCAGGAAGACATGGCCAAGGAGTCCAGTGCTTCTGCACCCTTTTAAAGACAGGAAGATAAGGTGACTGGATTATGGACCACCTTCCTGGAGGCCATAACCCTCCCCTTCAATGGCCTGGGATTATGGAAGGGAGACTTTTCAGAGGAGCTAAGACCTGGTTTTTACTTCCAAAGTGGCATCTGTGAGGCTTGCAGCCTGGACAAGACCTTTCCCTTTCATGCGCCATATCCCCCTTCTCCCCCTTGCTCCTTCTGCAGCAAACCTTTGTGTCCGCCACAGGCCAATACAAAACCCGCTTGTCTGGAGAACAAACATGACTCCTCTCACCACAGAAACAACCTGAGGCAGAGCTAAGAAACAAAGGCAGCTCCTCGCCCCAGAGCAAGGGAACATCTCACCCCACCCCTTTATCTTCCATTTGGGCTCTTCCACCAAGAGCAAAAACAGTGCCTCCTAGAGCACCTCTCACGGTCCCCAGAACTGGGCTCTAGCCAGGACTCTTTTTCCCTGACACACAAACCTGATAGGCAAAACATGTCTATGAAATTCTGTTTTCCAAACCAGAAATCCTAACATATGGGATTTACCATCTGAAGTCAGGACTTCCCTGAACCTGATGGATGGACAGCCATCAAACAGCTAGCTGACTTGAACACCCAACCTCTTGAAATCTCAGTCCAAGGTGTCTAATATCACATGTGGGCATGAAGGGCCTCTCCTCTCTCGTTTGTACAGTTTCCCAGAACTGTGTACCAGGAACAGTGCAAGGTGTCTGTGATAACTGCAGTGAACAAGACAAAGTCCCTATCCTCATGGGAGTTATGTTCTTGTTTGTAGGGTCAATAAGTCACAAACCGAACTGTGGGTATTTGTTTCACCTGTCTTCCTCCGTCATGGTCATTCCTGCATCCCCAGGCTGAATTCACAGACTCTGGCCAAGGTCTTGACACACAGCAAGTATTCTGAACACTTGTTCCCTGGAACCCAACTCCATCTCTTTGTTTCTAGTTGGTGAATGAAGTCTTTTCACCTCATTCCCTGATGCTCATATCCCCTTCACTGTTGTTCTGATCTCCTGGAAGGGCGCTGATCTATCCTTTGCCAGATTCTAATGTTCCCATCCAACTCTGGTGTGGCACTGTAGGATCAGGACTGGACTTTGAACCACAAGGTCAGAAGTTCAAACCAACCAGCTGCTCCTCAGAAACTCTATACAGGGTAACTATGAATCGGAACCAACTAAATGGCACTTAGCAACAACAACAACAATGTCCTCACCCAATTCTGACCCCTGTTTCTTGGGATCTTGCCAGTTCTACTTACACTATAAACCAGGCCTAGTTCCAGGAATCAGCTGCCTACTCTGGTAGGAAGCCCTCAGAGGCCATGAGTTTTAGGGGAGACAGAGTCAAGGAAAACAGTTACCACCATAGCTCCTACCTAAGCCTGGCCTTTGTTCCTCCCCACTCCTTACCCCCACTCATATATGACCTCGGTGAAACTCATATAAAGCCATTTTCTTTAAATCCTGTCCAAATGAGTAATTACTTTTTAATATAGATCATAGGTTCTTAGTCCTTTTATGCATGGACTCTTTGACAAGCTGATCAAGCCTAAATGCCTTCTCAGAATGTTTTTCAATGCATAAAATAAAATACATAAAACCACAAAGGAAACCAATTATAGCACAATGCAGTAAGGAAAATACAAAAATGTGTCATCTAGTAATAGTTGTACTTCTTTATTTACATATTAAATAAGAAGATCTAGAAGTAGTAAAGAGTATAAATGGTATTTTGGGATATCAGCAACAACTATAATTTCTATTAGCGATTTCTATTACTGACAGTCATGAACACTTAATATTCTTTTAGCCTCTAGTAATCATTGGAAAGAAAGCGAAAGCTCAATAGATTGGGGTTCATGTAAATAACATTTTTTTTTTTTTTCTCATCCAAGTTCATGCATCAGAAGGTCTATAACCATCAGTTTGCTGGAGATTGCATTCTGGGAGACAAGGCAACTTCTAAATGAAAGGTGGTAGGCTGCTGGTCTGGGATCCCACCCTCCATTTACCCTACCAATAAGAACATTCTGGATAGGACCTCCCCCACCCACCCACCTTCTCCTCCCAACAGTAACCTGGAGGTGATCATTCTAATCTCTTATTGGCTCTGAGGAGGAATGTGAGGAACCTGCTGGGGTCTCTGGTCCAGATGCTTGGGAAGTTCCCTTTATAAGAAAAGAGGGGGGACCCCAACCCTGGAATCCAATACAAAAGGAAGCCTGCTGGGGAATGAGGTTGTTAGATAGGATCGTTGCACCACTACCATGCCTGAATTCCTGGGACCCTGTGGGGTATTCATGGTACAGAGGAGCAGTGACTGTCTCCACCAGAGACACTGCTCCACCTGATTGTGGAACCCTGGCAAATCCTCCATCTAACTCAGTTTCTCTATCTATAAAAAGAATGACTACATTGCCTTTCAACTCAAACTGTATTTAACTGCAATTCTAAAAAGTAAGCACATGAGAAATCAAAGACTCCAATAATTCGCATGTTACAGAATAGGCGTGAGCCCCATCTACCTTGAGGCCTCCAGGTATATTTCCAAAGAACAGGTAATTGGGACCCATCCCTTTCCATGATAAGTGATAATTCCCCAACCTGCCAGCACAAGGGGCTACCCAGAGCTGGTCCCTGGGGCCAGGGCATGAGGAGGAGCTCCAGCTGCTCTGGGCTGAATTTGTAGCTTGTCTGTAATTCTGGAAAGGATGCAGTAAATGCAGACCAGAAGTAAAAACAGATCCCGAGTTACCTGAGCCAGAGACACCAAAAAAGGTTGGTGTAGGGAGAAAACACAACAGCCACCTCTCCTTCAGACAGAAAGGTGGGCAATGAAGGATGGTCATGACTCAGGACTCTGCTTCTCAACTGACCCTTTTTGGAAACCTCCACCAGGGGGCGTGGTTTTTGTTCAGGGTTTGGGGAGGGGCCTCTGGCAGGGTTAGGGTCTTCCCAGGCCAGGCAGGGAAAACAGAACTCCTCACCTACCTACTTTCACCAGAGGGAGGGAGATTCAGCTGTCCCCAGATAGGGTCTTGGTGCTGCTGCGTCCCCCCCACCCACACACACACACAAATGAGCCAGAGATGGGATCTCAAGAGATGAGAGTGAGCAGTATCTTATGAATTTGCACACTTCAAACACGTACCAGGAACCTCTTTGTTCCTTCCTGTGTGACTTCTGAGGCAGCGTTCCTGCAACCTATAGGGCTCCCTGTGACCCTCAGACCCAGGCAGAACCCAGCTTCCTACCCAGTGAAACCCCCTTCCAGAGAAGTCTCCTACCTGACCTCCCATCACTGTTGGGGCATCTCCTATGGGAAAGGTCACCTCCTGGTGACTGACACTAGATGAGAAAAAAGGTTGGCATGGGTGAGTGGGGGAGACTGGGACGGGTTGTGCTTCCCCCAGGACCAGCTCCCACCTCCAGACCCAGCCTACCCACACTCGGAATGAGGATGGGCAGCCACAAACTAGGGCTTACTCACCTGGATTCCTGGACAGGCTCTGGCTGAAGCTCGCCAGGACCCCGTGGAGTGGGTGCTATGGCTGGAGAGGAGATTTACTGTCCACTCAAGTGTGCCTCCCAGCTGCTCCCAGCCCACCATACACACACCTCTAGGAACCCTCTTCCACATCACCTGACGACTCCCCATCCTCTCTTCCCCGCACCCCTGAAGAATCCGTCCTCTGGATCCCTTCACCCTTCTCCAGTAAGTCTCCCCCTTTCCTCCCATTCCCTGGATCCGGATCTCTCCAATTCCTCACCTTAGGTCTCTTCCACTCCGCCCAGCTCAGAACCCTTCCTCTTGAAGTGCCAGCCTCTCTGGCTTTCCGTGCCCCTCTCCCCAACCCAGTCACCCACATCTTCCGGACTGTCCTGTCTTCGCTCGGACCCCCATCTCTCCTTCCTCTTTCCAAAGGGCCTTGGCCCCTTCCCCTAAACGTTTCCCCACTCAGAGCTTCCGGGAATCCTCACCGAGGCGCTGCACCTGCGGGGACTCCCCTGCCGGCTCTCCCCGGGGCAGCCAGAAGCAAGCCAGGAGCAGGCAGAGCGCGGGCGCCGGGGCGCGGGGGACCGGGGCCCTCATAGGGGCGCGTTGGAGCTGGGGAACCTTGACGAGGGCCGAAATCCCGAGGTGCCTTTCCCAGCCTAGGCAGGGTCACACCTCCGCAGCCGCGGTTCCTCTAGCTCTCTTGCCCTAGAGCTCCCTCTGCCCCTCCTCCCAAGCTCGGCTCCTCCTGGAGATGGAGCGCCGGGACTGCCCAGCTCATTATCATAATGTAGCGCCTGGCCATGGCCCAGCCTTCGCCCTTCTTGGCCTGTCGCAGTTCTTCGTGAGGGGTGTCTGGATTCAAATCTTACAAGGCTAAGTTCCCTGGAGGAGCTAGGAGGCAGTTTGTGCATCCCCCAACTCCCCTTACTACTCAGAGGTCCCTGCCTCCGGAACCTAGGTCCTGAACGTCCCCGAAACACCAGAGCCCCAAGATAGTGATATGAGTCTGGTTATCTCATTTCACTGAGACTCCCGGGACATAGCACTCAGTGGTCAATGGTCAGTGGTCAGCAACAAAACCAGGACCAGAGCCTGCACTCTCCACGACAGTCCCCACCTGGGAATGAATGGATCAGGACTCTTCAGGCCCCAGCTCCACAAAGGTTTGCTGAAGGACAGGAGTGCCTAGTGTTGTTGTTGTTAAGTGCCGTGGTTCTGACTCATAGCGACTCCGTAGAGGGTATTCGAGGAGCAGTTGGTGGCTTTGAACCGCCGACCTTGCAACTAGCAGTCCTGTGTTTATACTACAGCGCCACACCAGGACTCCAAGTGCCTCGTGTTCCCATATAATTGCTCCATCAAGGCCAGACTTAGGCAAAAAAAAAAAAGACCTTATTTCTGTGAACAAGACGCACTCTTTGTCTAGAAGAAATTAAAAGATGATGACGTCAGCCTGAGGACCTCAACAATGTGGACATGCGGCCAACGCTTAGCTTAGAGAACACTAGATGCCATATCCTACAGATGGTGAGGGGGTGCTAGTGGTATGGACCCCAGTGAACTGTGTCGGATTACCCAATAAGCAAGACAAGCACAGGTTTTCTTGTGTTTATTTACCAATCTGTAGTAAACAGTTTCACATTTCATTACCACATCAAAGATTCTGCTTCTAAGTGTGCTGGCATCTGTCTCCCAACTTCACAGCACCTCTTACAGAGTCAAATTTTACAATCCTTACCAGGGGCTTGCCTGTTGTTGTTGTTAAATGCCTGTGATTCAGTTCTGACTCACAGTGACCCTATATAAGATTTCCAAGGAACAACAGGTGGATTTGAACCCCTGACCTTGTAGTTCAAGCCAACCTTGAGGTCCAGCGCATTATTCTGTAATGCCACAATCAGGATTCCTGGCAGGGGCCTAGTACCCATTCAACAAGGTAAACATGGGCTTCCTTGTGCTTACTTTTTGCTTGTTGGGTCATCTGCCTCTGCCAGTAGACCTTGGGCAGGAGTATGGATTCAGGATCTACTCATTAATTCATGCATTTAGCATATACTTGTTAGGCATATAGTCTGTACCACATTCTGTTCTGGGAATTTAATGGATAAAGCACACAATATACAGGGTATTTTGGAATCCTGGTGTGGCGTTGTGGGTTAACCCACCAGACTGCAAAGCCATTAGAACTGCCAGGTTGGCAGTTCAAGCTCACCAGCTGCTCCTCAGAAACCCTATACCGGGTCGCTATGGGTCCGAACCAACTCTATGACAATTAACAAATACAGCGTATTTAGGCCATGGGCATAGATAGAAAAGCAGAGAAGAGAAAGGCAAGGATAAATTTTGAAAGGACATTGGTTAAATAAGGGCAAAGACAGGGCTGTCTCAGAGGCAGCTTGAAAATGAGCATTCATTGGAGAGGAAAACCAGTACCCAGTGCTGCCACCAAAACCAAGGTGGGAGCTTTAGGAAGAGGGAGTGTGTGGTGGTATGTAAAAGGATTGGGGTGACCAGTGGACCTTGTTCCCTCTGCCAAGGATAAATACCACTCTGTCTAAGTTCTAAATATGAAATAAGCTACCATGCGACATAGTTAAGAAAGATCGAGGACCACATTTATTTTGTGGGGTATTTTCTATACCTTTGAAAATCCCACAAGTCCTTTCCTTTTATATCCTACTTAGCTAGCTAATGTTGTTGTTGTTGTTGTTGTTAGTGCCATCGAGTCAGTTCTGACTCATAGCGACCTTGCATAGGGTTTCCAAGGAGTGGCTGGTGAATTTGAACCACCAACCTTGTGGTTCAAATCGACTTTGCAGCCCAGCACATTAACCCACAGCGCCACATCAAAACCAGCTAATAGTAAGGTGAAAACACAGATAATATTTTAGGGTTCTTTCCCAGCAGGAATTTACATCTTAAACTAGGCAAAAATTTAGTCCAAATAAAAACAGTGTGCTTGTAAAACTTTCACTATTGGAAAATGGGATGTAGAGAAGGGGGTCTACAGGGTGTTCCTGAAGTTACAATTATAGGTGGTTACCTGATTCGAACTGCTCTCCATCTCCTTGTCCCTGGCTCCCTAACATGGTGTAAATGGGTCAGGTCCACACCCTAGATGAAGTCCAGGGCAAGCTTTATAATTAAAAGTCCCCCTCTCCCAATTCACCATCCATTTCTCTCAGTCTTCCCTAGATCTGGTTCATTGCACCTCATTTTACCAAACTTTGGCTGAATTGAATTAAATGAATCAGATGATGTATGCTGCTGTTGTTGTTGTTAAGTGCCGTGGAGTTGGTTCCGGCTCATAGTGCCCCTTTATAGGTTTTCCAAAGAGCAGCTGGTAAGTTTGAACCATCAATCTTGTGATTAGCAGTTCAGTGCTGACCCTCCCCAGTGCCACACCAGATGATGTCTGGGCCCTGATTAAAGGTCAGCCATAAAACAGGATGTCATTGTTAAGCCTTTCTATGCTTCACTGAGTGAGTGTGTGGTTGTTATTTGTGAGGAGGGGGCCAGGAGGACTGGGGTGAGATTGTCACTCCCATCCATAGCTTCAGGCTACATCTATCCAGCCACAATTCATTGAGCCTAACTATGCCCCCAAAGAATTCTCAAATCAAAGATTTCTTTCTTTCTTTTTTAACTTTTTGTTGTAAATGGAGTGAAGGGTTGCAGAGTTACTTGTACATTCAACAAGTCATACACTTCTCATTTCATCTCAATGATTGCAGTCCCCCCACCCCCACCCCCAGGTAATGTTGCTAGTCCCATGCCCTCCTTGTGTTTCTTGTTTCTATTTCTCCTTCTCTCCCAATCCTTCTGAATTTTGTCCTTAGGTAAACGTTGCCTTTCAGCTCGAATGGTTGACCATTCTATGGTGTGTCTACCTAACTAGTGTTGCTGTCCCTCCTATATACTCCTATACTGTTTGGCTGAAAATTGAATCATGATGGTCTCTTCAGTTCCAGATACGAAGGATGATTAATGGCCATAGTCTCAGGGTTCCACCAGTAAGCCTGGGTTTTTTCATTATTTTGATTTTTGTTTCATACTTTCTCCCACTCTATCTAGGGCCTTCCACCACTCGACTGTCAGTTTGTCATACTGTGGTGGCTTGTGAGTTGCTGTGATTCTGAAAGCTATGCCACCAGTATTTTAAATACCAGCAGGGCCATCCATGGTGAACAGGTTTCAGATGAGCTTCCAGACAAAGACAGACTAGGAAGAAGGAGTGACAAACTACTTCTGAATACTTAGTCACTGAAAACCTTATGAATAGCAGAGAAACATTGTCAGATATAGTGCCGGAAAATGAGCCCCTCCGGTTGGAAGGCACTCAAAATGCGACTGGGAAAGAGCTGCCTCCTCAAAGTAGAGTAAATGGAGTTAAAGCCCCTGTGAGAAAAGCCCGCAGGACCTTCATTTGCTAATGGGACACAACTCAAAATGACTCGAAGTAGCAACAGTAGTGAGGCTGGTCCAGGATTGGACAGTGTTTTGTTCTGCTGTGCATAAGGTCACTATGGGTTGGTACCGACTCGATGGCACCTAACAACAACCACTCTAGGGCCATCTATATGATCCCTTTCTGAGCATTTGGTAGTGATAGCCAGGTACCATCTGGTTTTTCTGGACTCAGCATCATGGAGACTGATGTTCCCATGATCCACTAGTCCACTGGACTAATTGCTTCCAAGCATCCTCAACAGTGAAAGACCATAGTTGCACCTGAGATGGCTGCTCATGAGCTTTTAAGATCCCAAACGATACTCACCAAAGTAGGATATAGAATACTGTCATTGTAGACTATGTTATGCCAGGTAACCATGGTATCCCCTGAGACTATCATCCTGAGCCCCCAGGACTGGGTGGTGCAAACTCATTCCCTCAAAGTATGGGACATTAGAGAATGTCTAAGAAGTTTTCATATTTTTGCCACCTGTCTGTTCCACTACAAGGAGCTCTGGTAGCACAGTGGTTACGAATCAGGCTGCTAACCTCAAGGTCAGCAGTTCAAAACTACCAGCTGTTCCACAGGAGAAATATGAGGCTTTCTGCTCCCATAAAGATTTATAGCTACAGAAACCTTGTGCAGGGTCACTATGAGTTGGAATCGACTCGATAGTACTTAACAACAACAATGTTCCACTGCATTCGTGGATATGTTTGCAGCAAAGATAAATACCCATGTACAAATACCCTTTGTCAAACCTGTATATATTTGTGGATATACTCCCACTCACCCTCCCACACCCATTCAGCTTGTGTTTCTATCCATATATCTAATTGCAGGATTGTGAATATAACACAATATTGTATATGTAACAGTATTTACTTCATCTCTATTAATTCTTGCACTCAACCCAGTGTCTTTCCCTGCTTTCATCATTCTTCTGCTGACCTCCATCATGTTGTATATTGCCTTCCCCATCACTCAAATAAACAACTGTCTGCTCCATATGATAAGTACTGGACTGCGAATCACACGGTCCAAAGTTTGAGCCTTCCAATCACTCAGCAAAAAAGATGAGGCTTTCTGCTCTGGCAAAGATTTAAAAAGCCTCAGAAACCCTATACAAGGTCACCATGAG